TCTGAGGAAGCTGACCACCGACAGAGACGACAACACCGCTGGCGCTCTCAAGCTCGTAGATATCCATGACACGCTCGTAGCTGAGTTCTTCGAAGTAGAGCTTGTCAGCAGTATCGAAGTCAGTGGAGTAGGTCTCAGGGTTGTAGTTGATCATGACAGTCTTCTTGCCCATGTTGCGCAGGGAGAGAGTAGCGTTGACAGCACACCAGTCGAACTCGACGGAGCTTCCAATACGGTAGACACCGCTTCCCAGAATGATGACACCGTGGTCGTCGAAGCTAACATCGTGGGAGGTAGCGTTGTAGGTGGTGTAGAGGTAGTTGGTGTCAGCAGGGAACTCGGCAGCGAGGGTGTCGATCTTCTTAACCCAGGGCCTGATACCGAAGGACTTACGGCGGGCGCGAACATCGTCCTCAGAGGCGCCAACGAGCTGAGAGATCTGCTTGTCGGAGAAACCAAGCTTCTTGGCCTTCAGCAGGATCTCCTTCTGGAGGCCAAAGAGGCTGCCGATGTCCTTGAGCTCGTGGTGGCAGTCAACAATGTTCTGGAGCTTGTACAGGAACCACTTGTCGATCTTGGTCAGCTCGTGAACCTTGTCCACGGAGTAGTTCTCGTGGAGCATAGCCTGGCCAACAGCCAACCAGCGGCGGTCGGTGGGGTTCTTCAGGACTTCGTCGAGGTTCTCGAAGTGGTCACCCTGGAAGCCAACGAAGCGGGGGTCAACCTGACGGATAGCCTTCTGGAAAGACTCCTCGAAAGTACGGCCAATAGCCATGACTTCACCGACAGACTTCATGGCACTGCCAATGTCGCGGTTGACATGCTGGAACTTGCTCAAATCCCACCGGGGAATCTTGGTAACGATGTAGTCCAGACTGGGCTCGAAGTTGGCAGTAGTGGTCTTGGTAACGGCGTTGGGAAGCTCGGGGAGGGTGTGTCCCAGACCGATCTTCGCAGCAGTGTAAGCCAGGGGGTAACCAGTGGCCTTGGAGGCCAGAGCCGAGGAACGAGAGAGACGAGCGTTGACCTCAATGACACGGTAGTCAAGGCCATCGGGCTGCAGAGCGTACTGGACGTTACATTCACCGACGACACCCAAGTGGCGAACAATCTTGATAGCAGCGGTACGGAGCATGTGGTACTCCTCATCAGACAGGGTCTGACTGGGAGCAACGACGATACTGTCACCAGTGTGGATACCAAGAGGGTCAAAGTTCTCCATGTTGCAAACAGTGATGCAGTTGTTGTCAGCATCGCGGACAACCTCATATTCGACTTCCTTCCAGCCACGGAGAGACTTCTCGACCAGAATCTGGGGAGAAAGGGTCAGAGAGCGGGAGGACAAGTTCTTCAGCTCCTCGGGGTTGGCAGCGAAACCGGAACCCAGACCACCCAGGGCGTAGGCAGAACGGACGATGATAGGGTATCCAACGGTCTCAGCAGCCTTCAGGGCCTCGTCGACGGTGCTGACCGCAATGGATTCGGCGATGGGGATGTTGATCTCGTTGAGGGCCTTGGAGAAAAGATCACGGTCCTCACTGGTCTCCAGGGTCTTGATGCTGGTTCCCAGAACGCGGACACCGTAGCGCTCGAAGATACCCATGCGGTTCATCTGCACACCCAAGTTCAGGGCGGTCTGACCACCGAAAGAGAGGAAGATACCATCGGGTCTCTCCCGCTCAATGACATAGGTGACATACTCGGGGGTAACCGGGAGGTAGTACACTTCATCCGCAAGCTTGTGATCGGTCTGAATTGTCGCAATGTTGGGGTTGATCAGGACGGACTGGACACCGGCCTCCTTCAGGGCCTTCAGAGCCTGAGAACCTATTGGAGAAGATTAGTGTTAGCAACTGTTTCATAGAAAAGCCTTGACCTAGTAATCCCGGGTTCCCGTCTTTATTCCATGTAGGAATCGCTCAATTGATCGCGAACCATCAGGTAAAGGAGCAGGGGATTCATGATGGGAAAGTCAAGGTTTCAGCGACTCGTCCAACTTACCGGAATAGTCGAACTCTCCGGCCTGACCAATGCTCAGACCACCACTACCGATAACGAGGACCTTCTTGACATCGACCAATTTGCTGCCGGGCTTGACGAGTCCGCTGGCGAGGTAGCTCTCAGCGGAGGGAGCGCTGGAGGTCTCAGAAGCCAAGCGACGAAGGGCGCTAGAGAAAGAGCGCAGCTGCTGCGGTCGCCACGGAGAAGGGGCCTTGGCCAATCTGAGACTCGAAGCCGTCGAGTGAGCGGTAGTCTGGGAGGAGAATGGGCGCAAAGCGAGGGCGGAGCGACGAGACTCCGCCAGACAGCGCTGACGCAGGAGGGCGGACGTAGCCTGCCCGCAACGAGTAGCGAGAACCATTGCGCTCTGCGCTGGTAGAGAAAAGGACAGGGAAAATAGAGAGAAAGGTGGGAAGATGAAAGGGATGAATCAATTGAGAGGATGCACACTCTCTACTTTTATGGCCTGGCAGAGTTCCGGAGAGGGAGGATCTGGAGACTCCGCTTTTGGTCCGGCTCTGTGGGAATTTTTTTAATTTCCCTTTAAAGGCCAAGGAATTGAGTTCCTGGTGTATTCCACTTTATGCCACACGCCCACGACCAAAGGGGAGGACTTAAAGGGAGATGAATTGGCCAGGCGGACCTTTGTTTTGGATTCTTGGGAGAGAATTAAGAGTGAGGGAAGAAATGGCTAAAGAAGATGGAGAGGGGACGGGAAACGAGGAAGTAAAGAAAAGGTGCGGGAAACGGCGATGAGTCAATGCGGCACTTTTCCTCTGGAGACCAAGAACCAGCCAAAATGGAGAACGGGCTGCCGACCGAGAAAGTGTTCCAATGGGACTTCCGACTTTGCACTGAAAAAAAATGATGCCCCAACCTTGGGAGGGCCGATAAGAGCTCCGGTGTGCGGAGCCCTTTTTCCCTCTTTTCCCCTTTCAGTTTGCACTCTGGATCGCTGGGACTCCAGAATTCCCCCAAAAGACCGGCCCGGCCTCTCACCGCCTGGGCTATCAGCCAATGTGAGATCATGGGGAACTGGAGGCTAACAGGTTCGGGGCCAAGTCTAAGTGGTGACTAAGTGGTGACTAGCGGCTGTAGTGGCAGAAATGGAGCCCGCGGTTAGCAATACCGATCACTAATTTCCTGACTTGATAGCCCGTCCCAGTCTTTCCCAGCTGTCCAGGGGCTACAATCCTAGCCTGTAGGGCGTTATTATAGGATAATCATTATTCAATTGCTATTAACAACCCCCCTCGAAAGCTTGTCTGACTCACAACTCCCTGCCAGGGAACGGACCACCAGTGCTCTACTCAACAGATCATGACTCCGTCGTCTGTTCCTAGTCGTTCATCTGCCAGGAAATTTTGATGGTTCGTCAAGCAGATCCATGCCTATCTAGTGTCCGCCCAGCCTGCTTTGCTCGCTACTGCGCCAATCCGCTTCCACCAGTCCAACACCGGCTTTCGGAGGGTCTCCACGCGCCGGAATACACCTCCTGCCCATCCAAACGCTTTTCTCTGCTCGTCTATGGTTCCCTGATAAAAGGAGCACTTATGCCGTGAGTCACCGGCATCTGAGCCTTCCAGCTCAACTCTATTCAGTAGTGTCAACATTAATATTAGCCTATATGTGTTAATCTTAACCTGTCGCTAAGTATGTACGTCCTCGCTTTCCAGACTAAGTAGTTGGGGGTATCCCGTAGATAGTAGATCAACTCCCAACAGCCACTTGACCATGTATGTATTTCAACCCATGGACCCTTTGCTGGCTGTTGAATCCGCCACATTTAGGTCCGTGATCCGGTTTATCGTGCCTCCGACGCCCTGATATCGTTCCCACCCTTCACCTTCCCGGTCATATGAAACCTCCTCCTGGTTTTGGTTGGAGTATATAATAACTATACGTCTTCCACCAGCTGGTGTGCATTCTGTGCCGTTTCCTGTTGGGAGATCTGGATTTTGCATGCCGACGACGGTTGCGGAGTCTGAGGTATAGATGCAAAAGTGAATCAACCGATAATCCTTCCACTATTAGTTTACTCTTCTCGGTTCTATAGAAGTGGCCTTCTCCACAACCAATGGATGTTCCTTCCTGGCAGGCACATTCTCTCGCAGCGCTTTCTGGTATTGTTTTTGCGGCCCTGTCAACTCCGGCGGGATCTGCTTCTGTCAATGTCAATGACTGCTTCGCTGAAGTACTAATGATCAGACACGGGTTAACACTGGTAATTCAAAGTGCTCAGGGTCAGTTCTCTGCTCATAAAGGCACAAGGCTTGTTAGATTTAGAGAGCACCTTGGCGGCTCCTGATGTAAGATTCCAGATGTTTCGCAATCAAGGGGATATGGGTAGGTGTCGCGTGACTCAATTCGTTGGACTGGGCCCTGGGACCAGATTGTGAGTAGGCACGGTGTCTTGAGGATGCGCTAGTCTTTGCAGTGACGCGGATACTGGAGCTTCCGCCTTACAGTGTTGATTCGGCCCGACGCGGTGCCGCTTTTGGCGCATTGGCCGGACACGCATGGGGGAACGAGTCCCACTTGAAGCCATTACTCCAGCATATGATCTCGACTACTAGTCTTTCTGAGCATTGCCTCCATACTGATGATTCGACATGCTCTATACGCAGTACATGATGAATATATATCATATGCACACTGATTGGTAGGCATGTATGATGTGCATGCCCACGATTGGCAGTTCTGCAAAACCCAGGCTAGGCTTAGTGGATTATCTTGAGGAGTGCACTATTACAGTAAGTAGGCCTTGGAGTCGTGTGCCCATAATTACTAGCGAAGAAGAAGCCGTAGCATTGATAGTGATTTTTTTTCCCCTAATAAGGGATCTGACAGAGCAGCTCAAGCGGTGCCTTAGAGTGGGCCTCACTCTAGCCTCAGGATGGGGACTCCGCCTTAGCTCTATGTATAGACGATTTAGTACATAGTAGGTAGAAACTCATGCATGTGAGGAAGAATGCCGAGCCAATCTCAACCGAGCTTACTAGAGTAGGATAGCGCGGTAGAGAGGGAAAAGAAAAAAGCAGACAGACAGCGTTAGTGTGCACATAATTATGCGGTCAGATGGATTCAGATTACAACCGGCTGTGCCATGAGAGAATCTGGGAAACGGTGGATGTGGGACAAGACCAAGATCGTTGCGCCAACTTCGCCTCCCTTGACCATTGGCGGGAACTCCGATCCAAATATAAACTTCCGTCTGCCAGCCGATTCACCCCTGTGCTGTCTATTCAGAAAAGGCTGGCTAAAGCTTCCTCGGACAGATAATTAAGCTCTGGACTCCCGGGGAGCGGCCCCAGGTCTATCCGGCTGAGCGTGAAGCAAAGCTAGGAACTGGCAAAGGATGAATGATAGGTTCCATGCATGTCGGCTCCATTCAGCTGGAGAATTCGCGCACAAGTCAGTGGTGGCTCAGTGGTTGGTATGCTTTAAAATTCCAGTCAGTCCAATCAAGGGGTGATGCTGCAGCCTGTGCTTCATCGGTGGTCTGCCAGAAGTAATATTAGTCTGTCGGTAGTAAGAAGTTAAGAGTGGTGGTAGTGCTGCTGCTTGGTGTCCTCCGGCCATCCCCCAGCATCCATACTTCCTCCTACCGACAAACTAACGAAACTAACCTCAAAGACGACTGTCTCCGCCGGAATATACCTATCGATTCAGGGACTCCTTCGGTTGCTACCTTCTACCATTCGTCCATCCCATCAGTCAGAACCCTTGGTCGTCCTGCGTCTTCCCTAAACTTTAGTATATATGGCGTCCGGACTAAACCCCGGTCCTCTTTCTTCTCCCAGATTACGGCCTCGGGCTGCCACAACAATGCAACCGACCACCACGTCAACATTATCTTCACGTCGCTCATCGCAGGCCATGGCTCCTTCAGTCGCTGCATCTACGCCGAGCGCTCACACAAATGCAATCCCACTCGTCAGCGACCAGGTAAACAACATGTCTACGTCGGGTAAGCCAATGGCCATGCAGACAAAGAAAGCTGGAAAGCACCTTGACTGACTAGTAGCTCCAGGTCCACTTCGCCATCCCAAACCGCTCACTCCCTCCGATATTCATTCAATGCTCGAGCAAGAGCAGGAGGCAATGGTACGACACGATGGATCCTTCCTTTATCAAGTCTGTGCTTACCATCTTCTACTCTAGGTGAACCGCTTGTCGCGAGAGCTTTCCCTCCTTCGTCAACAAACAAACTCGGTCGCATCGACAGCCTCCTCGACCTCAACCACTCTCAACGACTCTGTAGATGGACTCCATGCGTCGCCATATATTATCAGCTCCGCGCACCCCACATCATCGCGAAGACACCGCTCATCCTCCAGCTTGAGCTCCTCCTACATCCCAGCTGTGCAAGGGTCGAGAGCGGGAAGCGTTTCCGGCATCGCACCTGCGCGAGAGACATATCTTCCTTCGACACGTCCTGATCCCTCGCGACCGGGGCGAAGCAGGGAATCATCGCTCACGTCTCATCGGCAACCGGAAGGAGCGTTGCCCTCAACACCAGGATCCCATCATCAGACACAATCGACTGACCACATACCTCATCACGCGGTCGGCTATCCGCATCGCAGCTCGCTGTCCCAGCAGAAGACGCCCATTATCAGTTCTACAAGCCGCCATGAAGAGGTCTTGCAGCAGCGCGGAGAAGTCGATTCGCTCAAACGCGAGAATGAAATGCTACGCCGACGTGTCCGAGACCTTGAGTCTGTCATTTCAAAGCTTCATTTACAGGAGTCGAATGTTTCTCATTTGAGAGACGACAACTCCCCATCTACACCTACCCCAGACTTGAAAGAGCCATCCGGCACGGAGACTAAAGAATGAGACGGGGATGTCTCGAAGCTTCTTTGGCTATAGATTGGATGCTATGGATAAAATAGGAAAGCAGGATCTTTCAGCCGTTATTTTCTTCGCTCTGTTTTGCTATTTCTTGGGTCAGAACTATTTATTGATTAGTGTTAGGTTGTTCGGGCGCACTCTCGGTTTTCCTTTTCCGGTATTGCTTTTGCTTCTGCGATTAGACGCTTTGGGCCTCTGGGAAGACCGACTATTGACCAAAAATGCTACTGCCTGGGGGGTAGAGAGGAAGATACTAGTACCATCTAGATAGATGATAGTCAGCGGATGGTAGCACTAGGAATGTTTCAGTTTCCCTTTGCACTTCTTCCACTCCCACTTTCACATGTTGTCATTGAATGGACAACGCGGCCGGGCCCACTGTGGCTGTGCGCCAGACTGGCTGCCCCTCGCGACGTCATCTGTGGCGCCTCCAGGCCCGCCCCCTAAACACGAAACATTATTCACTCTTCTTAAATAACAGCTCTCCTCTTCTCCTCCTTTCTCCCTTTTCTCTCCAGACTTATACCTCTACTCTCTGAATATCATATCATCTCCATTTATCTCTCTACTACCTTTATCCAAAACTCACTTCATTCATCATGTCTGAACGCTCCACCGTCCACGTCGAGGGCATTGCCTCCGCTACCACCGACAAGGAGGTCCAAGATTTCTTTAGCTTCTGGTATGCAATGCACGCATTTCAAACCATCCCTTGCATGAACTGCACGGCTGACAACCTTACAGCGGAAAGATCACCCACATTTCCGTGACCCCCGTTTCAGGCGAAGCTGATGCCCAAAAGTCGGCCACCGTTACTTTCGAAAAGGAAGCGTAAGTTACCCCGCACCTTACCCGTCATTGTTGCCAAATGACACCATCTCGCCCACTCTCCATCAAAGCTAACCATGATTCTCTGCGATAGTGCTGCTAAGACCGCTCTTCTCCTCGACAACACCCAGCTTGGTTCCTCTCTCGTGCACGTCAAGGCTGCCCAGAGCCTCGACGACATCGCCGGCGAGCAGGCCGCCAGCGCCGGACAAGCCAAGGACGAGTACAACCACGACCTCGAGCAGGAGGACAAGCCCCGTTCTCGCATTGTAGCTGAGTACCTGGCCCACGGCTACACCCTCAGCGACAATGCCATCCAGAAGGCCATTGCCCTGGACAACAAGCACGGGTTCTCGTCGCGCTTCACCAGCGCTCTGTCTTCCTTCGACCAGAAGTACCATGCCACGGACCGTGCTCGCGGTCTGGACGAGAACTACAAGCTCAGCGACAAAGCGACCACTGGCTGGCGTAGTCTGAACCACTACTTCGAGAAGGCCCTCGACACTCCCTCGGGCAGGAAGTTGCGGGACTTTTACTCCCAGACCGATAAGCAGGTGCGCGATATTCACAACGAGGCTCGCAGACTTGCGGATCTGAAGAGCGGCAAGTCTACTACTGAGGGTGGTGAAGCTCCTGCTCCTAGCACGGCGCCTGCTACTCAGCCGGCGGGTACTGCTGCTCCTGCTGAGCAGGCGTAAGCAAATTGAATTGAAAGAAAATTAGGATTGGGGGTTAATGAGCAACGAGGGTGTGGTTTCTGTCTCTATGCGATAATGACTTGACTATTTTTCAGTTCATGTAATGCTTCAGTGACAACATCTTTTTTTGCTATAACTAGCTGTCTGGAACAAGCGATACCTCAATACCAATTTGATACCAGCCATTATCCTCCCTGTGTATAAACCCCATAAAACAACCTCAACAGAGTGAAACCCATCCTACTCCTCCCTACACTACACTACACCAAACTACACCGCTCTACTTACTACCCAATCATTAAAAAGTAACTATAACAATATATCATATCATATTAAATCATCATAAATACAATTCATCACATTTATTCCCATTCTCACAACACACCCCCCATTCCATCCTCTCTTAGATAGATAGGGAAAAGGAGAGGATTAAGCCACACCGCCCTTCGAAAACTTCGCACTCTCTATATCCTCCAACGGGTGCTTAGGGTTACTCGACAACCCGGCCGTCTGGGCAGCCTGATCCTGGACGTCGTGTTCGGGTGGCGCATATTGAGGCTGGGCTTTGCCCTGCGAGGGAGGTTCTTGTTGCTGGGCGCCGGTTTGGCGCTCTGGAGGGGGGGACTGGCGGCCGGCGTTGGGGGCGGACATTTTTATTATTGTTTCAAGGAGGTTTGAAGGCTGTAGAAGTGGATGATTAGAATTTTTGAATTGAACTAAGTAGTAATAGGGGAGAGAAGGAAATTCACTTACTGTAGGTAGGTAGATATAACAGGTATGTGAGGTTCAAGCAAAAAGTGTATGTATGTAGATAGATAGGTAGATAGGGAAGAATTAGAAGGAGAGAAAAAAGGGTTTAAATATCAATTGCTCAGGGTCCAGAATCTTAACTCAGTCAGCTATGATATAAACCAGGCAGGTATGGGAACATTGGGGCTGGATGTTGGTTCTGGGAACATCATCATGACGTGTGGGAGGTGCTGGATGCTTTGTAAACGGTTTGGTTACGTAGATTCTTCGATCGGTTCTAACTGTGTGGGGTGTAGTATGTCTATCATTGATAATACCCAGGAATAAGTAACAAAGTTCTCTTTCATGAGGCTATGTAGTAAAACAAATACAGTGCTCTGCTATTGTATGTTGAATGGCAGTTTCGATGGATGAATTGAATATTGATGATGCAGATGGCTGGGCTGGAGGCAATGATGTCATTCCTTTCTTTAGTGTCACGTGATTTGTTTGTTTATGTAATCATGTCCATGGTGCTGGGATAGTCACGGTGAGGATGCAACAAGGTCTGTGATTTCTGTTGTCATAAGCCCCTATAGTATAGCCATTCTGCTAGGCTGTCCACGCTTAGGTTTGCGAAGAGGAAAATTGTGTTCGTGGTTGGACTGTGAGGGTTTACGTGCTACGGTATCCAATGGGCGTTGGTGGGATATAAATATATATTAAGGTAACTAGGGTTGATTTACTACTTACTGCTAGTAACTACTCCATTTTGATGACTCTGCGAAGTTACTTGACATCCAACAGATCTGGCTTTCACTACATGTCATATTAAGTTCTATGTTTTGATGTAAAGCTACCATGAATTCAAGAATTAAGTTGTATATAGATTGTACTACTGGTAGAATACTACCGTGATCGTGAGACAATTACAACTATGCTCAAACAATATCGTTATGGTATGAAACACCGCTTGATATTTTCCATAGCCCGGTGCAGCAATCAACTACCTTGTATAAAAGTTCATACATGTATGGCACTCGCTGTAAAAGCTTAACAGCCAAACCCCCTCGGGCCACTATATACTAGAGATAGACTTCCAAACAGAACGATTAGTTCGTTGACATGTCTCTCTGGCTGGCATTCCAGTTGTCATGAATAATACTTTGAAAAGCCCGTGGCTGTAAAACCGCAAGTATAAGACGAGCAATTGTTGCTTCATGCTAAGCAAATGGCAATCATTCACAGGAGTATCACAGGTATTTACACATTTCTAAAAGCCTCGCAAGGCACGGACTCAAATTACTGCAAAAAAAAGCACGCGCTGCCCATCGGCCACCATCAAGCGAGCACTGATCATTCATACTCAGTTGTAGGTTGGCAGGATGCATAGATATAGCCTTCATGTTGTCCGACATTATAACCATAAGTCAATTGACAGGATTAAGTGGGGGGGAATCGATCTCTTCGGATTTGCAGCACCACTGCACTCGAACATTGGGGGGTAAAAGGAACTTTTGGGAAAACAACCGGGGACATCACCAGAGGGTTAGTAAAAACGTCAACGGAACAGGAGACAGAAAAAAAAAGAAATTGTTCTAAATGACAAAGGAAAAGAAAATAAGAAAAGGCATAGATGGCGTTATAACGTATCCAGCAGGCCGCTCGACAACACTAGCCGTCGCCACGACAGATGGTGAAGATCCACAAGCTCTGCCAAAACAGACATCCAACCTGGGATGGCATTTTTCTCTTTCTTCTTTTTTGATTTCGTTGCGATGTTCGTTGCCTCGAAGAGACCGACTGGCTCGTTTCGTCAGCCCTCCGGGTTCATCGTAGCGTTTCTAGTTCCCGTTGGTCTGGGCAGCAGCAGCCTCGGCGTTGGCCGCCGCCAAAGCCTTGGCTTCAGCCTCGTGGAACACGGACTGAAGGACTTGCTGTTCCTCTGGGCTCAGGATCTTCGCAAGGTTTTCGTAGAGCTGAGGTTGTTCTTGCTGGAGACCTATTTCATTGTCAGTGGCCGCATGCTTCAAATAATCGAACAATGGACGTACTCATGAGAACGTGCTTGAACATGCCGTAAGGCTCAACCTTGTCCAGAGGGGTCTCCAGCAGGCTCTCCTCATCAAGGTCATCTTCGTCATCATCGGCAAAAGATCCGAACTTCTGGGCCTATATAATGCGTCAATGGTGATCAACCGAACGTCAATACAATCTGACTAACCTCCTTGTTCAGGAAGTCGAGGTAGGCGGCACTGTCATCGGGGACATCGCCCTCCAAGAGCGCCTCAGCCTCGTCCTGCTCGGTCCACTCGACCTCGCCATCCCAGTCGTTCTCCTCATCACCTTCGTCATCTTCCTCGTCGAAGGTGAAGTCAGACTCCTTGGTGGCATCTTCACGATCTATAGCAAAGTCAGTACACATATTGACATATCTAGGCTCAGATAACATACGCTTGATGGCCGCCGGCAGGGTCTGGAAAAGTCTGGTCACTCCCTGAAGCAACCTGGGCCAACCCTGCTGCACGCTAGCCGGGACATCATTGACATTCAATGTCAGCAAAGAGCTGATCGCAGCAATCGACAGCTTCTTGTCGTGGACTCGGCGGAAGTTGTCGATGTTGGAGAACCAAGTGCTGAAGAACTTATTCGTCCAGCCCTTGGCTTCCAGAACCTGGAGACTGAGAACAGGGTTGTAGTAAATGGCGTTGATGACCATCTCCATCAAGTGGATGCGGTAAGACTTCGTCCGGGCCTCGCCGGCGTCGATGACGCGCATCGCCAGCTCAATGAACACGGGGATGTATTGATCGATACCACCGCGGAGGTTCAGCATCAGCGTCTCCGCGAGTTTGCAACCGCATATCCGATCGACACCGCCGACCTTCTCATCTTGGAAGATGTCCTCAACCATGCTAACAACAGCGGCGAGGTAAGCGGGAGTCTGAACCATTGTTTGCGAGCCGTAGGCAACATAGTTGTCCAGGGCGGGAAGCATGTCTTCCAGGTACAGCTCAGCGCCAGCCTTAAAGGTCTTGTGGATGAGCTCAAAGGCCTGCCACATCGTGGGAGAAATGGACTTGGATGCGAAAGTGCAGCTGTCAATGATCTCAAAGACCTCATTGTAGAGGTCATAGAGCTTGTTCTCAAGAGTGATGCTGATAACAGGCATGAGGATCGTCTCGAGGTGAAGAAGGACATCGGGCGTGCTCTCCAGGGTCAGGATCAGGGTTCCGATCGTTTGCAAGACACCCAGAGCGGTGATGCTCTTGTCATCCAAGAAATCGCCGTACGCATCCTCGTCACCCTTGGCCGCATTGCGCTCCAAGAGCTCGCCGACGATACGCATGTAGGTGTCACGAAGCTGCTCGCTGAGTGCCACAGCGAACGGAGTGAGTTCGGCGGAGAAGACCTCAACAAAGTCCTCCATGACATTGGCCAGAGCATCCACATCAACCTCGTTCGCGAGCTTGAGCAGCTGCTGCATGATTTGGGGGATGTTCTGCTGCATGGAAGTCCTGATGATATCGTGGCGGATGAGGGGCTGCAGAGCGAGCGCGGCTTCAACTCTGACAGGCAGTTCGGAGTCCGTCATGGACTCAAGGATGTTACGGTAGATGATCATCAGGTTGTTGGGATCCTGGAAGTCAAGAGCTTCGAACTTCTCCAGAGTGTCACAGGCACGAGCCCTGAGGAAACCGTGGGGACTGCGGAACTCGGGGAAAACATGGCGGACGAAGAAATATTCCACCTGGTCCGCGATGGGACTCTTCTTGCCAAGGATGACAGAAGCCAGAGAACCAATCATGCGCAGGGCACCTTCCTTCTCTCTGGGCAGCTTCTGGTCATCGGGAGCAGACTCGTACTTGCTGACGACGCTGTTGACGAATGTAAGGATGGAGAAGGTCTGCTTCTTGCGGTTCTTGGTGAGGGCCACCAGGAAGTTCGTAGCAGCAACGTCGGGGGCCGAGACTTCCTCGTAGAAGTTCAACTTCCGGTGAAGGTACTCGGAGGGGTCGGTCTCGAACAATTCAATGTCCTCATCGGATTGGCACAGGATGGGGAAGATGAAGTGAGCGATCAAGTTGTCCATGTGAGGCTTGAGGTGCTCCCACATAGCCTTCGGCTTGACACACTCCTCAAGGAAAATCATGGTGTAAGCAAGCGCGGGGTTGCTGAGCCACTGTCCCTTGGACACCCACTTGTCGATTTCCTGCAGGTATCCCTTGAGAATTTCGGGGGCGAAAGTGGTGATGAAAGCCTTGCCGTACTGGGTGTAGTCGGGAGTGCTCGACTTGCTCATCGTCGTAGGGTTTCCGTACCTGCGAAGTGTGATCAGATGAATGCCCCACGCATACACCGAGCGCAAATTACATACCTGATGAAGAGACGGTTCAGGTTCGCGTACGACCACTTCTTGCACTTCCACCAGTGGTTGAGCTCTCTCTCCTCCTTCGACTCGTTCATGGCGCTGGCGGGAGGCTCCTTAGCGATGATACGCAGGAAGAGCGTGCACCAATCCACCGTCGCTTGTTGTGTTTGAAGATGCGGCGAGAGTTCGAACTATACCACCATCGCATTAGTCTCAGTAAGCCACCCGAATTGGAAACCTCTCATCTCTTCTTGGTTCACCCACGTAGATAGCATGCTTGTAGGATTTGACCACGATCCGGAGCATTTCCGCCGCCTCCAGACTCTCCTCGTCAACGAGCTTCAGACCGATGCTCAACAGCTGAGGGAACGAATGCTCGACGATCTTGTCGAATTCCTCCCTCTTCTCTCCGGCCTTGAATCGGTATACACGGCAGATGGCCAACAGGCACTGCAAACCGGCGTAGACGGAGTTTGCATCGTTGGTGCCCAGCAACTGGAGGGTGATGTCCAGGAAACCCGGCCACTGCTCGGGGAAATCATGCTGAAGGATTTTCTGAAGAAGAGGAACCAGTTGAGCCCGAACATTCGGCGGCGTGGATGCCAGGGCGGGAATCAGCCTCTCACGGAACCCCGGTTTCTCCTCCTCGGGAATCGGTGTGCGCAACGGACTTTCTTCGACAGGGGACCAACCACGATTAATGCGGTTCTTCAGGTAAACACCGGCTAAACAAAATCATCGTTAGGTTAGATCATTTACTTTCTTTTGTTTGTATGAGGGCGGAGGTAAAAAAGAAAGGGCGGTGGGTGATCGCCCGGACGGTCACCACAAAAAAAAAAAAACCTACCCGACAGTTGAACGGCATTGTTCTGTTCCCCCTGCAAAATATCCAAGAGCGCATTTATAAATCCGGGTTGCGTCTCGGCCTAGAGAGAATATAAAATAAGTATGATGCCACACTGAGTGACTCCGAGCCTCTATTCCCACACATACATATTTCAGATCCAATTCAGCTTGGCGTCGATTGTCCGCATTGACGTCGAGAGTAGACTGTATGCGGTCTCGTAAAGCGGCAACATCCATCTCGCACCAGCAAGGGCCCCCGGTAATAAAAAAAAGAAAGATTAAGCTGGAAGAATAAAAAGACCCCGTTACGCGGTGAGTGAGCCGGGAGATGTGAGGGGAGGAGGAGGGGGCGAGAGAGGGCGATAAAGTAGCGGGGGGGAGGAGAAGGAGGAGGAGGGATTGATAGTCAAAGTAGTGTGCAGAGAGACAGCAAAAGTGCCCTTTGGGTTTGTTGGGTTTGGTTTTCTGTCGTGGTTTTTCCAATAAGCGTGGCCCGCCCCGCGCCTATGGCAGCTAATCAGAGGCCTCGCCGCCACGCGCGGTAACAGAACTTTGCTTTCTCCTGAGCCTGAGGCCTCGGGAATGGGGGCAATCTAGGCGGAATTTTTCCTGGTCCAAGCTCGACTTTCAATTCTTACAAAAGAGGGTCTATTGATTCGAGTCCGGGGTTTGGTTCCTTTTATATGTGTGCTTCTTCTAGCCGTCTCAGGCAAGGAGAAGGGGAACTAATGAAACGCACTGGAAACAATCAAAACAAAGGGCAAAATAAAGAGTATAGTATTTGATGGGAAAAGAAAGGAAAAGAGTAATTCCCCACGTGGTTTCCCCTCTTCACCCCCAAAAAAACAACCACCCCTCCAGCACTGACCACTACTGCTAGTAGTAACTTCACATGTACAAAGAGGCTGCAAAGATCACATCTCTCTTGATCTGCTCCTGTGCCTGTTGCATCTTCGTATACAACGTCGGATCACCCACCAACTTGGCCGCATTCTTCACCTCCCGGCATGTCTCATCTAAACGAGTAATGGTCCGTACAATAGTGCCTTCCATCACATCAGTCAGGTCGGTGATGCGGTTGAACGACATTCCCTTCGCCCATTCGTAGACAACCTCGGCCAGACCAAACCGTGGCTGACTAGCGAAATCGTTACTATCTTCGCTGGTTTGGATTACCTGGTGCTGAATCTGGAAATCATTCACGCGGTCGGAGATCCTCACAATGGCTTCCTTGCCTTTCTCAAGACGAGGAGTCAATGTGGGAACGTTTTCTGTCTTCTCTTGGAAGACAAAGGCGGATAGCAGTGCAACGATCTCCTCGGGCTCATATTCAGCCAGAACGTTCTCGAGGATCAACTCGGTCAGAACAAGCTCATCGGCGGAGTGAATCTGTTCGGTATTTAGCGGTGGAATGGAACTAGGAGAACTGAGAAACTTACCTCACATGCTACCTTTCCTTTCAGCTGCACGCGAGACTGCTCGTCCACGAAGCCCAGCTCCTTCAGCACCTGGATACGCTGCTCATAATCAGGCAGCAGAGCAAGGTTCTGATCAGACATGAGCTGTTTTAATTGAGAAATATTCTCTTTAACCTGCCATTCGTCGTGTTGCATTTCGAACTGTCGGATGTAAGCATCAGTGTCGGGCGTGATTTGGGATAACGAGATCACTTACATGTTTCAGGAAGCTGGGACACTGCAAACACTTGCACCCTTGCGCAATGGAGGCCTGCTGTTGCCGCTTCTCTAAAATATCCCTGACCTGTAATTCCTTGATTCGAGCCCAGTCTATTTCATCCCAGACTGGACTCGTCCACGAAGCGCAGTGCTTGGTGAGCTCCTTATCTGCAAATTTGCTCGCCTCTGTCCACGACATTAGCAACACCATCCACCACAAGGCATCTACAGAACTCACCCTTCTTGATGTTGAGGTACCATGTGGGACCACCAAGCTTAACTAGCGTATTTGTGACGCACTCAAGGTCCAACAGGGGCACCTTGTACGATTTCAGTGCCATATCGGCAGCACGGGTAGGCAAAGTCTGCAACAAATGCTTGAACATTGGGAGGAAGGGAAGAATATCGCTAGGATGGCGCTTGTGTCCGAGTCTTCCGATCTCGAGGACTTGAATGCTAGGTGTCTGACCTCCGCTAACACCTTCGCGAACAATGACACCTGCGGTTCGGAAACCCTCCTGTAGGACAGTTAGCTGGGATTGATCATGGGTGATGGGGGCATGTCTACCTTTCTGTACACAATTAATCGCTTCGGCACAAAGAGGCGTTTGCCAACGGGTGATGAAAGTAGTCCCACGTGGAGCTCACTTGTGAGTTTCTCATATTCAATAGCTGCGGCATGGCATGCCGCAAGGTCAATGTCACATATGTCACAAGGCTCTCGTTTGATTTTCGCCAAGCTGGCCTCCGAAAGCTGCACCTGCTTTTCGTGCTCCGGGAGCAAAGCCTGGGTAGCATTCTCACTGAAACTTCGCTTGATCATTTCTTCAATCTTAAGGGCCTCCACACGCAAGAGGTTCAAGATCATGTTGTATGTAAGCCTGAACTGAGACCGCAGTTTGGTCGGATCACCAAGGATCATCTTTCTCAAAGCGCCGGCTGGAGGAGCTTCATCTCGACCTGCATTGACGATAATGACGTATCCCACATTGTCAAGTCCTCTACGTCCAGCACGTCCAGCCATTTGAGTGTACTCTCCAGGTAGCAAATCTCGGAAGCCTTTGCCATCATGCTTGCGGAATCCGGAGAACACAACCGTTCGGGTTGGCAGGTTGAGCCCCATCGCAAATGTCTCGGTAGCGAAAAGGACTTTAACCAACGATTTAGCGAACAGAATCTCGACAATCTCTTTCATGATCGGCAGAAGACCACCATGGTGAACAGCGATTCCTCGGCTCAACAATTCGCGAAGACGAAGAATTTGTGGAAGGGTCCGATCCTCTGGCTTAAGTCTTGTGAGGGACTTTTCGATGAACATATGAATCAAGCTCTTCTCGGAAGCAGTGGAAAAGTCTTGGTTGGACAGCGAGTCGGCATTCTGTTCACAGCGCTTTTTGGAGAAGACAAAGATACAACCAGGCAGCAGATTCTCTTTGCGAAGGTGCCCAACGAGCTGCACCCAAACGGTCTTGTCCTGCGCGGCTGTGGTCCGTCCACCACCTCTTCCTGTACGGGCAATGTTTCCAGTGCCTCTATTTGCAGGCTGCCCCCGGCCACGAGGGGCTCCTCCACGTTGTCCATTGCCGCGAGCACCACCTCTCCCACCGGCTTGTCCACGTCCTCGTCCCTGGGGAGCACCTCCTCTGCTCGCTTGAGATTGAGCTTGAGCCTCAGCCGCTTTCTGGGCCTTGAGTTTGTCTCTTCCGGAGATGATCTCATCTGCCTCTTTCCAGCCGTTCTCAAGGAACCGCTTGTTGGAATCGACGATCTTGTACTTCCCTTTGCCGGCCCAGAGATAATGCTCGAGGGGTACAGGTCTCTTCGCGGTTGAGATAACGTAGATGTCCTTCTTCTTTGTGCGACCAACCCAGGATGCAAATTCATAAGTGTTAGGAACGGTGGCAGACAGGAGGATCAGCGTAACATGTTCGGGAAGCATAATGATGACTTCTTCCCAAACAACACCTCTTTCAAGGTCGTTAACATAATGCACTTCATCGAAAATCACAAACTCGACGTCTCTAATTAAATCGGCGCCTCTGTATAGCATGCTTCGTAAGATTTCAGTCGTCATGATAAGGCAGCTTGCTTCTGGGTTAATCTGGACATCACCGGTCAAGATGCCAACATCATCGAACTCGGTTCTAAAATCTCTAAACTTCTGGTTACTCAATGCCTTGATGGGTGACGTATAAATGGCCTTCGTCATATGCTTCGCGGCTAGAGAAATGGCATATTCGGCGACGACAGTTTTACCAGCTGACGTATGAGCAGCAACGAATACGGAGTCGCCACATTCAAGATGATAAACAGCCTCCTTTTGGAAAGTATCCAGTTCAAACGGCCACTCCCGAGCCATGTCGGGAACCAGGTCGCGGAAGTTCGGAATTTCTTTGTTGACATCGACGACATGAGCCCACTCTTTACCGGCTTTCCGTTGCTGCATGCCTGCGAGCAGCGGCGCGTGGGGCTCCAGCGCTGGGAATTCGACAGGCAGCAAAGAGTCAATATCTTCCTCATCGCTGAGCTCCGCCTCATCATCGATCTTGACACCTCCGGCATCTGACGCTGTCTCCTCTTGCTCAACATGCAGATCGGTCTCTTCCTGCTGAAGCGCGTGCTCCACTTCTTCGTCCCCTTCTGCGGCCTCTTTAGTCTTTGCTTCCTCGAACTTCAATCCCCGAGAGAAGCCAGGGGCAATCTCTAATAGACCACCTTCAGCACCAAGGTTAATGATCCGATCGAGGCCCGGTTGCTTGCCGCTGGCTCTAGAGTGCTCTGGCGTCTGGGCTTCGGATTCCATCTCAGCAATTGCTTCGACACCGTCCAGCCCACCCGGAGCGAATGGAAAGAAGCCAGCGGCGCCTCTAACAAAGTCCGCACGGCCAGCTGGCCGGCGAAGCAGGGACGTTGAATTTTTGGCATTTGCACTAGTGGCGGGAACGGTTACTTCGTGGTAGCCAGTAACACGTCCTTCCAGGCCGTCCCGATCAAACCGGACGATAGTACGTGTTTGTGTACCAGCGACCTCGAATAGGTCAGTGTAATCCGTCGGGACATCCCATTTCCTGCGCCATGTCAGTATAAACAGATGAGGCTGCGAACGAATGTGGGGTATCGAACCTTTGCAAACGGTTCAGCCATTCAGGACTAAACGTGGATGAAGGGGTCAAAAACTCCTGCTCCAGCTCCTGCTTAAGGTCAGCAGCATCCTGCCGGGCCTTTTGCCGAGGTTTGAAGTCCTTGTAGACACCATCCTCTTCTTCGACCAGTCTTGCGTCAAAAGCCGGTCCGCTAAGGTTCTGCGAGTTTAGGCTTAACTCGGCCAGCGCCGATGTCAGCGTCTCTGCCATTTTCTAAAACTTCTCGCCAAAGGTGTTAGGAAAGTTCTGATGGTACGCGATCTACTTCAGCATCGCACGACACGTCTGAGCAGAGATCTAACAGAGAACCCCACCAGGTAGCGTGAAGGGCGGAAGATCTTATCAAAGCAGGAAGCCAAGTTCAATAAGCCCCATGGAAAGCCTGCAGGGAAAGTCCAGTATTCACAGGAGTAGTAATTGACAATGGGACCCTATCACAGTAGCTTTGGAGATGGAAAGAGTAGCTAGCACCGGTGGTTATTCGATGTGTTTGGCGGCGGGAAGTTGGCTGGCGCCAGAACCAACCAGCTCGGACTCTGACGTCGTGTGGGGACTGCAGCTTCCGCCTACCGGTGGGATGAATAATGTTAATTCACATCCGAATGAACTAAAGCGATTTGGGAGAAAATCAGAGGGGAATCGGAAAATCTCATCGACTTGCTTCTTCCCCACAGATTTCCTCCAGGGGTTGTGGCATTGCACAATTTCTGCTTCCCCAGAGTGATGAGTGGAAAAGGCAACTCAGCCAGTCGGCACAGAATATCACAACTTTTTATTCCTGTTCATGTGCCCTACTAATAACAATACAAGGTAGTGTGTGTGGTCCTTGTACAAAAAGTCATTCGTCATATACAGTCGCCAGAACGCCAAAAGCAAATGCGAAACGATGATTTGAACCCAATGTTACAATCGGAATGCTCCCGAAACAAACGCGCAAATACCCGTGCTGGAAAAGGGGTGCCAGGGAACAACCAGGGATCCATCGTCGTGGACAATCCCGATTCCCCCCTCAACATCAAAAGATGGTGTTCTATCTCCAGTCGTTCAATCTTGTATGCTGAATGCCAATTATCCGTCAGACCCTGCGCCCTCTCATATACCCGCGCGAACTAAAACACATCACAAAATCCAAATAGAATATAGTAAATAATAATAAGAGTCATGGGGATGTTGGACGAGCCGCTCAACCTTGAGGCAAATGTCGTGCTCAGCAACTATCCCAGAACTTTACCCGTGACAGGGCTCATGAATTACTTGTTAACGATAGGTGATGACAGGGAAGGTCTTCCTGTCTGTTACATTGACCTGGAATTCGAAGATTCCGTCCACAGTGGCGACGTATCTAATCAGTCAGTTGAAGTGTACCCTCGAAGCATTCAAGACATGGCACCTACAATGTTCGGCCATCTGCACCCCAACCAATACCAGCTGTGCTACCCGGTTCCTGGTCTCGACCAATGCCCAGACTACGATCAGGAAGTTCATTCAGCACGTTACGAATCCATCGAGGGGAACGAGCTTGTTCGAAATCCCACTGGGTTTGCCGATACCGCAGGTGACTTTGCCGGCTGTGCGGCAACATGGCGTTCTGTCGCTGTTGCCGTCGAAGGCGTTCCACAGCCACGCTGGCTCTCAATTCGGTGCCCGAGAGCCGCGGTGTGTCTTGCAGGACCTCGGGCGTGCCATCCTGACTCTCTAGCCGTCTGTGGCCTGAACGGGATCGTTGGTGGTTTCTTGGCGGGGGCAACAAGTCTGCTGTGGTATTAGAATAATCAAAATTGGCGGACGGACGGTTCATTGTGCCATGAAGCCGAGCCGCGGAGCCATGCTCGTTACCAGAACTGTTAAGCTCACTGGAGCTTGAATCTGTAGCATGCGCAGGGGTGTCTGATCGATTAGGGTAGATCTCTGAGGGCGAAGCGGTCCAGCTGAGTGTAATACTAGGCTGCGGATCGGGGTTTGCCAGTCCTATTTCGGGTGTTCTACTGCTGGCTTCATTCTGGCTAGGGGTCAGTAGGACAGAGCCCCGGCGTCTCGCATGCTGACTACGATCACCAGTTCCCGATTGCGAGTCTTCCTGGTACAACTCTCGGCTTGGATGACTGCGTGGTGGAGGCGAAGTAGGACCGGAGGCTCGAGTGGCCTCATCTGTGGGACCGTGGAACCGGGGGCGCACTGGAGGGTGAGGATGAGCATTAGCTCTAGCTCGCCGCTCCGCTAACCCGTCTTCCATCCTCGACGTCCATCGCGCTGTATTCAAAAATTCAACAATCAGCCTCTCTCTTTCTGTGAGGTCCTGTACCAGGCTCTCACTTAGTGGCGAGTTGCCGGAACCCGTCGCGCCTTGGTTATGGAGTGCTCCCTCTAACGAGTCAATCGCTCGCTGTGTTGCGTCGAGTTCATGCCGTGTGTCTGGGGAGGCTCGACCATCGAGTTCGAATAATAAGTCATCTAGCAATGGCTCCGTACGGACTTCCTGCAACTCGGGCTCGTTCATATCCAATTCCAGTATCTGCCTGCGAACGAAACCGCGACGAACATCGGCAATCCCAGCTCGCCCCTTGTCTTCGAGCCATACCAGAAGATCCCAGGGCTCAGGTGCAAACGCCATACATCGTACAGCGCCTCCATTGCAACAAGCTCTGGATGAGTTGAAGCGACAGATGATCGCATTCTGGCCCTGGGGCTGGCGTATAATATCGCGGATGGTCCCCACATCAAAGATGGTGATGACTCCAGACTGCGAACCGATCGCGCATAATCGACTGAATTGAGAAAAAGCGACAGTGAAACAGCATCCATCGTCAAAGCGTGTGCCTATGTCCATTTCTATACAACGAAGAAGGTCCCAGTTCCACCCACAAACTTTGTCACCCTCATCCGTTACAGTCACAGCATCAAGGTCGCGGGTAACATCATAGAAATATGCACGAGTCTCATCACCAACCGCAGCAAGGATAGTTGAATCTGGTGACATGATCGCATAGTTCATGCACGCCGGATGATGAAGCACCTTGAGGACTTTCGACCGGGCCAGGGAGTAAACGGTAACAGTCTTATCGTTGTTACTGCAAAAGCAATCAGCATCTCAGGTGATTCGGAAAATTGCCATGCCCATACCTCAGAATGGCTATATCTTCCTCCGCTAACTCCTTTCCATCCCCAGGCAGACGGTGGATCGTCACTGAGTTGACGATACTGCCTCCGAACTTGTGCAATTGCACCTCTGGAACCTGCCTTCTATTGCCATGGCGAGCCGGTCCAGGTTCGTCGCCAGGCATCCAAGGCGGCGATATCCTCGCAGGAGGGTCAAGATCGATTGGCAAAGCACTGTCCACGTCCGACGGCTGGAAAGCCGGTGTATCGGCACGGGCGCGCGGACTCCGATCGGACGATAGCCCAACAAATGCGCATTCTCCATTATCGGCGCCCCCCACCCCAATCCAGCCGTAACCAGCAGCAAGACATTTTGGCTCAAACGGAATAACGGCAATGGTCTCCCGCTTTTGTGATGAAATGTGAATCGAGTAGATGACTCGCTCGACGACAACGTAGATCCTGTCCGGGTCCGCGGTGCTAATATAGTTGCGAAGTTGTTGATGACTGTCTCATGATTAGCACTGATCAGTCTGCTTTTCTGCGAGCTCAATGTACAGACAAGTTGGGAATTTTGAAGGGGAAGAAGCGGCGCTTGTTGGGAAGGATAAGAGACTCCGTCGGATGATGCCTGCAGATCGTTACGACATTAGCAATCGGCCAGTTGGATCACCTGAGTGGGAAGGGAAGCAGGAGACTGACGCGAGCGAATCCGTAGTCATTGTGAAAGAACGTCGATATTATATTTTAAGGTGACATGGTCGGAAGTACAGCTATGGCGGAGCTCCGATGTTGCGGAAAAAAGAGGACGGACAACACATAGGGAACAGAAGAGTCGATGGCGAGTAATAGCGACGGCGAAAAAGAAAAGAAGTAATGGGAAGGGAAACAGCTGAAAAGGAGGCCGGTGTCGCAGGGTATTGACAACAGGGTCTAGCCTGAGAGTGGAAGTTGAAAGCTAGAGCTTGTTCGAGTAAAGTAGTGTAAAGTAGAGAGCACACCACCAGCACCAGACACCTCCTCTCCCTCTCTCTCTGTCTGCTCTGCTCTGCTCCCACGTCGCTTTCCCTCTCAACTGATCCGCCCTTCACTGCCTTTGGACGATTTCGGAGGGTGCGAACGGATGACGTAAGACTTAGTCGGACCCAATCCGGGGAACCTCCAGCGGCGAATGCGGTCGAGTCAATTCGAGTCCACCGCTTCCAGCCCGCCTTACATTCTTCTCTTTAGACGGTAAGGAAGATCCTCAAGTCGTTACTTTGTGTATCTGGGTAATATTCGGATCCTGTAAGATCATACAATCGCTTTCGCCTGCACGCAGCATGCTATTCCAAACCCCCCTGTATTGTTTCAATTATCTGCAGTACGCCTACTAAGTAGACCGAGGTCTCGTGAGGGTTTCCCGTCTAGGTTCAACAGCTTAACGGGAAGCAGTGTTTCGACACAACCATTGTCTACCATCCATGGTTTTGAACTCGGACCAACCAGCAATTGCCCGTATATATTTCTATTTCATGGTTTCTTCATGACGTCGAATGCAATAGTGACTGTTGAAGATGGCAGCAATACATGTAGTACTTTGGATGATAGTTTTTCGGATTAAAGCTACGGATCACATTCTGCTTGGCGATGATGACTCATGACATGCCCATGTCCGATGAAAGTCTATCCTAGCCTATTTTTTCCTTCGACAAATTGGCCAATAGTATGGGTTAAACATTTCAGAGCTTTTCTGATCGTACATTGCAGCTTTGACTCAGATAATACGGGTAGTAGAAGATGCAGAAAGTGTAGTCGCGGACATACTAACACAAGACTGGAAGATATAAATCCACCACATAGCTGGCCGGTGTAAAGGTGCCGAGGCATCTACGAGAGAAAAGCAATATTGACAACAACTACTAGTATTGACTATACTATTACTTGCTGAATCAACTTGATATTACCATGGTATCGAGGTGCTATCAATATAGTGTATGGCTCAGAATCAATAAACGCAGACTAATTTCGAGAGGTATCGACACTGTCAAACCTCTACAGAGCGTTGCTACAAGTAACGTTGGACGTATGTACAAATAGCTATATAGCAAAAGCTTATCTCTGCAATGCTACTAACGTGAAATCGCATCCAGAGTAATTGAAATCGACATATACTAACTAATACCTGAGCAGCTAGGGGGAAGCAAGTAACAAGAAGAAAAACTGATGGAAAAGTATTCAAGCCACAGTGGCAATGAGTAGAGGGCACTGGTAGCTTCTGCGAGCTGCAGTGGAAGAAGAAGAAGACCGGCCGGGGCAGTGGCTCGGCAACTCAGCTTGAGCGGTCAAAAGGATCGCTGGGCTGCGATTGGATGGTACGCTGTGTTGCCGTGATTCTACCAAGTTCGACGACGGGCCGAAGCTCTCCGGGACGATTTTTACTAGTCCTGGCAGCCGGCGTCCTCCCTTCTTTTCAAGTTTCTTCCTCCCCAGAAAGAGCTGAAAAATTCTTGTTCTCCTTCAACTCTCCTCCTCCCTCCTGTCTCCATCTTATACCCTCCCTCCTATATCCTCCGGCCCTTCGATTGAATCGACTGGCCCATTTCTATATTTTCCCTTTTTAATTAGTTGTATTATTTTGTTCTTCTAATCACACCTCACAATGTTGTCCTCTCGTCTCACCCGCGCGGTAAGTTCTGCTCATCATCATTTGTCAATGCTGAAGTGTTGTTTCTAACATCACATTCTGTGATTCAGCTCCCGCGCACCACTCCTTTCGCTCGCGCCCCTGCTTTCAGAGTCCCCGGTGCTGCCGTTCGCAGATGGAACTCCACCGAGGGTGGTGAGGAGAAGGTGAAGGGCCAGGTCATCGGTATCGACTTGGGTAGGTTGAGAATCCCTGTGTTCGTGATGTAATCCATACAGTATCTAATACAAGCGCACAGGTACCACCAACTCCGCCGTTGCCGTCATGGAGGGCAAGACCCCCAAGATCATTGAGAACACCGAAGGTACGCGAAAATTTTTTTTCCCTCCCGTCGCGCCAGTTCCGCCATGCCTCCGAAATCGGAGCCATCAGTGGAATCTCGCTGGTATCATGCAGATCGAAGAAAAGGGGCTGACTTGGATGTAAATAGGTGCCAGAACCACTCCTTCCGTTGTTGCTTTCGCCCAGGACGGTGAGCGTCTGGTCGGTATCGCCGCCAAGCGTCAGGCCGTTGTCAACCCCGAGAACACTCTCTTCGCCACCAAGCGTCTCATCGGTCGCAAGTTCACCGACGCCGAGGTCCAGCGTGACATCAAGGAGGTTCCCTACAAGATCGTCCAGCACACCAACGGCGATGCCTGGGTTGAGGCTCGTGGCCAGAAGTACTCTCCTTCCCAGATTGGTGGTTTCGTCCTCAACAAGATGAAGGAGACTGCCGAGAACTACCTCAGCAAGCCCGTTAAGAACGCTGTTGTCACTGTTCCCGCCTACTTCAACGACTCCCAGCGTCAGGCCACCAAGGACGCCGGTCAGATCGCTGGTCTGAACGTTCTCCGTGTCGTTAACGAGCCCACTGCCGCCGCTCTTGCCTACGGTCTTGAGAAGGAGGCCGACCGTGTTGTCGCCGTCTACGATCTTGGTGGTGGTACTTTCGATATCTCCGTTCTGGAGATCCAGAAGGGTGTTTTCGAGGTCAAGTCTACCAACGGTGACACCCACCTTGGTGGTGAGGACTTCGACATTGCCCTTGTCCGCCAGATTGTCCAGCAGTTCAAGAAGGAGTCCGGCCTGGACCTCTCCGGCGACCGCATGGCTATCCAGCGTATCCGTGAGGCTGCTGAGAAGGCCAAGATTGAGCTGTCTTCTTCTCTCCAGACTGAGATCAACCTTCCTTTCATCACTGCTGATGCCAGCGGTGCCAAGCACATCAACCACAAGATGACCCGTGCCAGCCTCGAGTCCCTGGTTGACCCTCTCATCAGCCGCACCGTTGAGCCCGTCCGCAAGGCCCTCAAGGATGCCAACCTCCAGTCCGGTGACATCCAGGACATCATCCTGGTCGGTGGTATGACCCGTATGCCCAAGGTCACCGAGTCCGTCAAGTCCATGTTCGGCCGTGAGCCCGCCAAGTCCGTCAACCCCGATGAGGCTGTCGCCATCGGTGCTGCCATCCAGGGTGCTGTCCTTGCTGGTGAGGTCACTGACGTCCTCCTGCTCGATGTCACTCCCCTCTCTCTCGGTATCGAGACCCTTGGTGGTGTCTTCACTCGCCTGATCAACCGCAACACCACCATCCCCACCAAGAAGTCCCAGACCTTCTCCACGGCCGCTGATTTCCAGACCGCTGTCGAGATCAAGGTCTTCCAGGGTGAGCGTGAGCTTGTCAAGGACAACAAGCTCCTCGGAAATTTCCAGCTTGTTGGTATCCCTCCTGCCCACCGTGGTGTTCCCCAGGTCGAGGTCACCTTCGACATCGATGCCGACTCCATCGTCCACGTTGCCGCTAAGGACAAGTCCACCGGCAAGGACCAGTCCATCACCATCGCCTCTGGCTCCGGTCTTTCCGACTCCGAGATCCAGTCCATGGTTGAGGATGCCGAGAAGTACGGTGCTCAGGACAAGGAGCGCAAGGCTGCTATCGAGGCTGCCAACCGCGCCGACAGCGTCGTGAACGACACTGAGAAGGCTCTCAAGGAGTTCGAGGACCGCCTTGACAAGGCCGAGGCTGACCAGATCCGCGAGAAGATCGCTACTCTCCGCGAGTTCATTGCCCAGAACCAGTCCGGTGAGGGCACTGCCACTGCTGAGGAGTTCAAGCAGAAGACCGACGAGCTCCAGAACGCCAGCTTGACCCTCTTTGACAAGATGCACAAGGCTCAGTCCGAGCAGCAGCAGCAGCAGCAGAGCGGCGAGGGCGAGAACAAGGCCTAAATGTACAACCACTGAACCTCCCATGACTTGAACAAGCCATGGGTGTTTCCTGTATTTCACCTTTGCGTTATTCCCTAGAGCCTTTCCTCTTTTTTCTCTCCGATGTTTTAACACGCATGATATGTATACATACCTGATAGCTCTGACTGATCTATCCCTGTTCCGGTGTATTGGTGTTTTTATTTACTCTTTTCATGTTCATTTCCTTTTCCCTTCTGTATTCTGATTTCTCTTTTCTCCAATCCCCTCTTCATACCTTTTTGGGCCGGGTGAGCGTTTGCACTTCTTTGACAGGAGGGCCATCCGTTGGAACGGATGCATGGAGTTTACATTTTGTAACTTAATGACATTACGGCTGGGAGACCACGAAAAAAAGGATGTGGTGGGCTGGAATCTGTGACAATAGAATATGAAATTCTCCTCTCGATTCAAAACTATTGCTGGACCTGATACATGTGTAGACTTGGCTGTATACTAAAGACCAGAGAAAAACATACGTAGACACATACGTAGCCAAATTCCTTCTGTGAAACAACTACCGAGTTCACCCAGCTGCCAGCTAGCTAGTCTACCACAAAGTAGTCTAGTTCCTATGACTAGTGAGCGTGAGCAAGACCGGGTGGGCACTACCACCAAGCCAGCCAGCATTCTGGAATCGGCCCGAAAAACCAGGCAAGAGTGGGCCAGACAGGGCAAGAAGACGCCGCGTACACACAAAACAAGTCTGACTGTTTAGACTAGCTAGATAGTAGACTAGATTGACTGAACCTGGCAGGCACACTCTGGGACTCATTAACCAACTAATTAATTAGTTAGTTAGTTATCTAGTGGACTGACTGACTAGTCAACTATTCTGTTCTGTGTCGATATTCATTCGTCCCCAGACCGCATGTAATGGTAATCCAATCAACCAGTGCTCGAAGCCACTCGCTCGCCCACCAGTCTAACTAGAAACCACGGTTGATTTAAACAGGTGTTCCAGGAAATGGGTCAGTTATCGTTAGCGTTGTGTTTGGTACATAGTGGAATTTAGTACTGAGTTTTGTTGTGGTTAGATAGATACTTTGTCGATAGCCTCGTTGCCAAGCTGGCCAGTCTAGGAGTGGATTAATACTAGATAGTAAGTAGTGGCTGGACGGAGTGGTTCTTGGAGAACAGTTTATCTGGAACAGGAGGTACTTTGGTTGTTTGTAGATGGTGTATAGTTACTAGATTTGATTTGAATAAGTAATAGTCTGTGAGTAGAGTATTTGGCTTTGGCTTGCCAGCTGTTCGTTCATTCGGTCATTTGTTGTGTTGTGTTGTGATGTGATGATGATCGCAGGAGGGAGGGAAGGAGGGATGAACGGATGGAGGGAAGGAGGGAGGGAAGTCATTTACTAGATGATGTGATTAATTAATTAATTGGCAGTAATAAGTGGCTGCTGCGAATCAGGTTGAAGGTGTGGTGTGAAGCATACGTAGTGCATCTTTGTTTGGGATTGACTACTATTCTGTACTTGTTGTTATTGTTCTTGTTTGGTATACATTCTTGTAAGTGTTTTGATAGATCTTCATCTTCTAGGAGAATTGTTGAAAGTATTTGGTATTTCTGCCACTGCTTTGCAACGAAAGGGTTAGATGGATTCTCGCCAGGAGTGATACAGTGATAAACCTTGCATTGGCTTTTACAGAGAGAAAGGAAAGAGTAAGAGAAAAGGGTGGATAGATCGAAGGAGGAATGAAAACCTGCCACGAGTCCCGCAAAGATTCCGATGCCTTGAGAGGACATGTTCTGGGTTCAGTTATTTTTCCTTGTTCTGACGATCCTTTCGCTAATCGAAGCTTCTAGCACGCACAGATTTCACAAGGGCGAGAGAGAGAGACAGAGAGAAAGCAAAAGAGGGGAGAGAGGGGCGGAAGTGACTTCCAGAGTCCATGAGCAGGAAAAAGAAAAAGAAAAAAAAAAACATAATATTCATTTTTCCTTCCTTCTGACTGGAATGTGAGCAAAGAGACATAGAGAGATGGTGTGCTTAGGGGCCTACTCATCCATCCATTAAGGGACGACGAAACAACCGGGGAGCAGGAAGCAGCGTTCCAGAAGTGGAGCTAGTGATATGCAGGATGGACAGAGAAAAAAGCCTTTGGACTTATCATCATATTGATCTAATATAGTTCAATGGTGACGGCAGGCCAGAACATCACAAGTTCTGAACACACACAGTAGTATGGGGTAAGGGGACTATAGTAGGGGTTGTTAAGAGTTTAAGAAACTGGTTTGTTGTCTCTCCCTATCAGGATGTGCGATCGAGCCCCCAATCAACACACCACATCGACGGATGGTCGAATCAGATTGACAGCGATGAGGTCGGTACAACTTACTACTTAATTACTTACTGGGTACTTAATAGTTATAGGAGTAAGTACTAGTAGTAGGCATGGGGAGAAAGTGCAGGACGTACTTTGGTTCTTATCGGCAGTAAGCCCCAGCTGCAACCAATCGCCGCTGGGAGACTTGCAGGAGCGTTGCAGCTGAAGGAACAAATCATCGATGTACACACATGCAGTGAGGAGCTCTGGCCAAGGAATCTCTCATTCTTCTACACAGTAGGGTGGGCGCAAGAAAAAAAAATATTATGGAGATTGGCAAGTGGACTGAATGGAGGGTAAGTGGACGAGACGAAGGAGGGGGTTAGAACGCAAGTAAATCCTTTGCTGTTCTTTGGTCAATGAAGAAGAAGATGACGATCCTGGCAGTTGTGGTCTGACATGGCCGGTAACAACGCTCGCCAATCTGACAGACCATGAGGTGGATTCATACGGAGTCATTCCTCGTCTCCAGGATAACTTGTGACTAATGAATCAATCTGTGTCACAGATGATTCTGGCAAAACATCCTCTGATGAGAGCTGTTATTTTCTGCTTTGTTTCGGCTGGTACCAAAAGGCTCAAAAGCCTGGATCTCTCTTGCTGGAACGCCCCATTTTTCTGCCCTGACTTGGACCAAACGGGCACTCCTCACGTCCAGCCTAATTTGAGAACCACTTGGAACGAGTCTATTTATTTAGACTGGATTAATTGCGTCTGGCTGCGAAAAATCTCCCCTTCCATCATTTGTCGATCACCGTGTTGACTAATAACGTACCTGTTCCAGGAATGATCCAGTCAAGTGTTTGTGGGTGGGAGGGAGGATGAGAGGGATGCCCCGCTCGGTTGATTATTTATTGTTGTTATAATTATTATCATTATTTATTAGTAGTTGTTACTATTGTGTAGTGTGGATGAAGGACTGAACTGCCCTGGCTGGCCCTCATGGATCCAATCCCACAGGAATCCACAGTAGTGTGTGTGTGTGTCTTTTTCCACTGGAAAGGCGGGTATCTTCCCACTTTCCTTCACATTTGCCCCTTGGAACACTCAACCCAGCGAACCAATCTTTGCCCTTTCCCAACCCGTGTCCTCCTTTCGTCTTCATTTTCTCCCGTATTCAGGGCGGGGACCTTTTTCTTTTTTCCCACCATTCTCATTGCTCTTTTCCAATTAACTTCCCCCCTGTCTACGTAGCTGGTTGGGGAACTTCGGCATCTTCAGTGCGAAAATAAATTGATAACCTTGACACGCTGTAATACCCTTGTAATCCACTCTGGCCATGAGCACAAAACCCCCGATCTTCCATGATCTTCTACTTTCCTTCTCATTTAATTGTGTTACAAACAAGTAGTAGATCAGCCGGTCCTCATTGGTCACTCCCTTTAGTAGCTAAAAATAAACATTACCAACTCCAGACAAAACTGGAAGTGAACGAAGGGAAACTAAAGGGGATGAGAAAAAAAAATTTACGAACTGTTTCTTGGACTGATGACAGGAAAAGGCCACAGAATGTTTTTGGTACATTTAACTCGATAATTTCCTAGTAAATGGAAAAAAAACTTCTACAATATATGCCATCGTCCAGGTTTCTTTATGGATTGTTGAGATCATGTCAAAGTTAATATGTTGGCGCATTACCTTTATGGTCAAGGTACATATCGACCCTGGTCTAAACAGAACATTTTTGCTTCTGCTCCGGCAGACAACTAAAAAGTACACATCTCAGATCCCAGATAGACCGGGGGGGAATCCGATAAATAATAGAATTTAATATAGATTACTGGGTTGGTTTGTGTTTGTCACTAGTGTGACAGTAGTGGATTTCTATCGGAGGGGCAGGCTAGTGTACAACACAGAGACATGATTTTCGGGGGACTGAAGGATTTTGGCACAGAATAATAATAATAATAAGTCAGTGAGGAAGTGAGTGAGTAATTACAATGATGCCCATGGATCATTTTCAGGGATGGCGCGAAGACCACCACCTACTTTTGGTACTACTCCTCATCTGAGATCGATCTATCTATTTCAAGCAAGATATTAATTAATTTCAGAGAGATTAAATAAATGAACAAATAAATAAAAGAAAAGAAAAGCAAAGAGAGCTTGTGGAAGCATAATAGAAAAGAGAAGTAAAACAATAAACAGAAAGAAAAGAAAACTAACAGAGAAGAGATGGATCTCAATCGGCCATCCCATAAGTCGGAATTCCATTCAGGTTGCAGAAACGGGCAATGAACCAGACAAGTTGTGCAGTCTGTACTACATCGTACTATGGGCATTATTGTCAATTATTACTACATCTGACACTGGAGCTCACTAGTGCTGTTGCAGGTCCCAGACTTTATCCATGGACTTGTTTGTTTCCAAGGTCCAACTGACCGTAAAATCACTACTTACTATCTACTGACTAGTTTTATTAGCTGCTAGCGTACCTCTCTAGTGGTTGTCTAGAGCTGTCCCATTCGATCTGGTTTAATTACTTTGACCAGTGATTCCAATCTTGCTCTCGCCTTCGCTCGCTCTTCTGACTAGTATCTCTCCCTCTCTCTCTCCCTCTTTCTCTCTTGCTTGTCTTAAATTTATTATTTTTGTTCCTTTTTCTTTTTCTTTTCCTTTTTACTCTATTTTCCCTCTTCTTTTTCTTTTTCTTTTACTTTCCCCCTTGGATTAAACTTTCATGCAAACCTTCCATTAGGATCGCTGCCCGCTAGACTATCTCTTTTGCGCGCGCTTCTCAACAGGCACCACTCTGACAGTCTTGCCTGCCTTCCTCCTTCAATCCATTGGATCCCTTGCTTAGCCGTTAACCACTTTGCATTTGTCCCTCAACTCTAGTGGGTTGACAACCATCGCCATCGACATTCGAGGGAAAACCCGCGGGAAATTTCCTGGTGAGAGAAAACACAAAAAAACGGGCAAGGTGCATCGCACTAGCGGCCTCTTTTTCTTCTCTGCTTGGTGGAAGTAGTCCTTGGCTGCGTTTGACATTCTATTCTTCTGATTATTTGCTGCAAGTGTAAGTCCCTCTCTTCTCTGTTGCTACTTGCTCTCGTCAATACCCCAAACTCTACATCTGCCACGCATTCTGTTCCATCTCCGCGAAGCCTTGGCCTTTTCCTCCTTCTGCCAACTAGCCCATTGTATCCTCTTCTTATCATCCAGTCATAAACTTCTTCCCTTTTGGTCCTCTCTCCTTCGACTCCTTCTCGCATCTCCCTTTTTCACCCTGCCTTACACTTGTACTCCTTCGTTCCTCTCTCTTTCCCCTCTTTCATCTTATTCAGCTATTCCTCAGATCTCATTTCCTGCTGCTTTTTCTTCCGCTCTTCCCCCCCCTCTCGGAGTCATATCATCTGCACTCTTCAACAAAGTTTCCATGTGCATGCCAGAACTCAAAAGCGGTAGATTCGATCAACTAATTCTCTGACTGGATTTTTCTTCTTCAGTCCCCTCTACCATGACAGTTGCAGCACCTCCTGTAGCACCTGTGCACGAAAATGGCATGAACGGAGGTGCCCCCGGGCATCATGTCAACACCATGAGCCTCCCCCGTTTCCATCCAATCGCAATGAATCCGCCGCAACCAATCCCGCCAGAACATATGATGCCTGCCCATCATCAATTTCGTCCTTTCCATCCCCCTCCACTGCAGGAACAGGGGCCGCCTGCACCTGCTCCGCCAGGTCAACCATTTCAGATAGATCATATTGAGGCTCGCCTCAGGCAACTGGAACATGAAGAGGCGGCTCGCATGGCGGCCCGTAGTCATCTTCTCGCCATCCGGAAGCGAGAGGACGAGGAGTTTCGTAGGATGACTGAAAATGCTGAAGCCGAAGAAGAGGTATGGTCATTAGGTTGTGATATAAAATTTCCCACCCGTTTCAACTCTGACATGGACTTCTTTGCCTACAAATCAGGAACTGCGTAGGCAACGGAAACGAATTAAGCGCGAGTCGATGGGACTGGGGTTCAATGCAAGCCTGGACTCTCCGCCGCTTCGACCAACGCCGCCTCGCCGATTATCGGAAACCAATGCAGCGACCACCCTTGCATTCTTCAAGCAACAGAGCCCTCCGGAGCCTCGTCCAATTCCCCCGCCAGCACAAGCGGCACCGCCCCATCCTCCACCGCAACACATTCACCATGATCCTACCGGTGCCACGTCGATTAGGCGGAAGCAAAAATATACCATAAAGAACGTTGAAGCTTGGGGGGAGCGACACGGACGTCCGGCGGCGCATGATCCTTCTGGACGGGCGCTCTGGAAGCGGCCGTCGGATGGGAGCTTGGTGTATCTCACATGCCCTGTTACGGGCTGCGGCAAGGCCGATTTTGTGACGCTGCATGGCTTCATGTGCCACTTGACCAAAAAGCACAAGGATCGTAGCCTCGGCAGTCAGTCCCGGGCACTCGAGGTATGCGGAATTGTGTTCGATCCCAACGCTCCTCTACCGCCAGTAGCTACCGTGAATCGGGCATCTACTGAAGAAAGTCGCCTGGAATCGGGTCCCGCAGACGGTGAAGGATATCAGCAGGAGATGGAATATTCTTCTGCATCGGATGAGGAGGAGAGTCGGGAGGTCCCCGTGAAAACGGAGGCCTCAGAGAGGACACTGCCCGCGCCGCCGGCGACTATGCCTCCGGCGCCGGAGCAAATACCAGTGCCGAGAACGAACGGTTCAACTAAACAATCCATTTCATCGATCATCGATCGCGACCCGGAGGATGAACCCCGGGGGCGACTAAGCTCAATCCCGCCTCGGCCGGCTGAGGCACCCATTCAGGCGTCCCCGGATCAAAAGCCCTCGATCAAGGACGAGGCCGAGTTCCCTCGGCCACATGAGAACGAGAAAGAAAATACTCAACCTAAAGATACAACCGAGGCAAAGTAATATATACAAATACATAATTACTGGTTATTCCATTGCGTTGGCCTGTGACGAGGCAAAACTTGCATTTTCTCACCTTGCATAGTACGAGCATGCTTTCAGATTCTGTTTATATGCAGCTCTTGCGTCAATACCCTCTTTTCTATTCGTGGGTGGCCCTTGTGCACGTTCATTAATAATGTAATGTCTTACAATTGTTTCAATGGTTGGCCCTCTTTCCATGTATGCTTGGATTGATGGGGATTTTCTCTTCTACACATGCCCATCCCGATCACATATTCACACCGGATGCCTCCGATCACTAGCCCATTTTATACCCTTTACAACCCCCGCAGTCAAGGAAAGATATCTTTCATCCCCGGGTACACAGTTATTGTGTCTGTTATTTTCTTGCTCTTGCTTCCCACAAGAATGTCCATACTGCTTTGGGATGTTTATACACGCACAGCTGATCTTCAGCTTCTGGCCGGGGACGTATGCAGTTGAGAGACACGAAGCTCTTGTTCAAAAAGTTCCACAATTCAGGCCATGTCCATAGTCAATGAAAGACATATCACTCAGCTCATCTTTATCCTCCTACACCTTCATATTCAGGTAGACATCATCCCCATAGTCCTAACCTAGACGCAGATGACATCTACCTCAAAACCAACACATGCACCAAATACCCCGACCCCGACATCAACTTCTCCCCCAACATCTCATCACTCACTCTCCACACCCGAAACACCCTCAGCGTCTCCCGCAACCACGCCTCAAACACCTCCGGCGACCGCTGCTGCTGCGCAATCACACACACCGTCGGCGTCCTCCCCGTCGCACTAGACCTCTCCCCATCAACAGGAGGGGCATACACCGGCCTCAACCGACACAAATCCGCACACGTGCGCACAAACGGCGCAACCAACGCCTCGTTATAAATACAGTCGCAAGACACCACCACGTCGAAGCCTTTATCGTCCTCGTCCTCCTCCTCTTCACCATCATTACCGCTGCCAGCGGTGGCTGTGCACAGCCCCAAACTCTCTTTAAGTGAGTCCGCAACATCTAGTTCCCAATCCAAAGAGGTGAAGATCACATTACTGCTACTTCCATTCCCATTTCCCGGTTGAGATCTCCGTGCTGCTGAGGATGAAGAAGCTTTGCTGGATTTCTTCCCCGACTTGGACTTACTTCCCCTTGTGGTGATGGTGTTGGCGTTCTCGTCCAGATTCTGCCGGAATAATCTCTGCACGTATTCCTGGTCTGTGGCGATGTAGTGCGCTATCTTGGGGGAGAGGGATAGGGCTAGGAGGGCGGAGATGCCGCTGCCGAGTTCGACGATTGTGGAGGTCGGAGTTAGGATGTTGTGTGTCCAGAGGGGGTTGGGTTTGTTGGTGGTGGTGGTGGTGGTTGTGGTGTTGTTGGAGAGCCATTCTGCGATGAGGGGAGTGATTTTCCAGAGGACTGTTGTATGTCATATCGTTCTTTCGGTTAGTTTGATGCTTTTCATGGCGTCATTATAATCCTAGGGAGGGGATATCATTGGATTTATGGGCATGGGCTCACCTGCACCGGTTGTACCGCCTGCTCTGGAAGATGATAACAGAGTAGGGGATTGGTGGATGGTATAGTCTTGGTCGTGGATGGTGAGGTCGATGGTTGTGGCGCGCGAGTCGACGAAGCCTAGGTTGGCGGAGGGGATGTCTTGGGAGAAGAGGAGGAAGGATTCTATGTTTAATATTTGTGCCAATGGTTATTATATGTAGTATACGGGTTTATGGTTGCTTATAGGTATACACGCTCATGAATGATGGTACTATCAATCGAGCATAGGACATACCCTCTTCTGCATCTTCGACTTCTTCGCCGATGGTGGCGAGGAAGTTTGTAATTGAATCCATGGTATCTCGGGATAAGATATGTGTGTCTGTCTGTCTAGCGTCTACTAGGTATACAGAGGGTATATGTTTTGTTTTTCAGTTGCCACTTCCTTGAAGAGGCCTGTTTGCTTCTGATATTGGCTGTCCTGGTTAGTCTGTGGTAGCGATGTACTCTGTCGATCGGAATATTTCCTCTGCAGCGGCGGGCGTTGTGCAACAGAGATCAACCAGGATGTGGAAAGAGGGGAGACTGTTTCAGCTCCAATTGAGGTTTTGACTGCACAAGGGCTTGCAATGGGTGAAGGATTGGCGATGATACCGAATTTGCGGTGGTTCTGGTCGGCGGGAAGTTTTCCAGCATTGTAACGGCCGGCAGTCTGATTGGTTGGCGGGAAGAAGTTCAGTCACACCGCAGAGATCCTTAACCGTTATTCATGTATGCTTGCGACTGCATAAGGGGGTGGATGCATAAGTGGATGAAGGAGGTCGTGGAGGTGTGTCTGCAGTAGAACTGATCAAAGTTAATTGTCAATAGTCTCTGATTTGGATGTCTGGTGCCTGAGTACTTCCTGATAGCTCGTTAATAGATAGTCATAGTGAGTGGTGGAAATCCCAACAAAAGCGGAACTGGGCTTAGCCCGCGACCGAGACTTTCCGATCGCTTTTCTTGAATCATGAAATGCGAATCTCTTTGACTCTAGAGGCTTCTTATGCCGTCATCCTGGGCGGGAATCTCTGAATTGTGGATTCAATTAGATCATATATCTCTCCTTGGCTATAGGTAGTGATCTAGTACGTAGTCTGCTTACTGTCATGTCGTGGCAGCAATGACAAGCTCCATCGTTGCTTGTTGCCCCGTTCCTGTCCCCATGATCTCCTCCTCTCCGCGTGTGTCAGAACCTTGAAGCTGTCGGCTGTGCTGGACCGCGGCTAGTACTTCTGATGTTGCATTCAAGTTCCCGACCGATCTAGACGATGCATGAGCCTAGAGGAGGTGCTAGTACAGACAGTAGTCGTGGCCTCAAGGTAGGGTGTTGTCACGATCGCAACCATTGTAGCGCATTGCGAGAGCGGAGAAGTCAGACCGAATCGCAAGTAAAAATAAGACAATAGATAGAACCAAGGAACACGATGTGCAGGGGAAGGATCGCAAAAAGGGACTCATGCTATCCGTCATCGTAGCCGGAGGTGGCGGACGAGACGCCCGAGCTTTGGTAGAGCCAGAAAGCAACTTGGGACCGCCTTGACCTCCCGTCCAGCCACAACAAATACTCTGACTTCATTGCCGATCTGCAGCTTCATCTTCTCCTCTTCTGGTGCTGCTTCTTCTTCTCCTCCTCCGCTACCTCCTCTTCTCCATCTTCCCTTTCTATCCCCCTCTTCTTCTTCTTCCTCCCTTTTTACCCCATCTCATCCGGGTCCCTTTTCATCTGCCGCCCGTGTTTCCTCCCCGCAATCTCGCCCGCCTTAAAAGGTTCTTGTGTTTCTTGCTAAGGCTCCACCTGCAACCTCATCCCCCGGTTTGGAGTTCGTCAGTGTGGTTGTGCACTTCCGTGAGTCCTTTTGAGTTCTGCGCTCCGTCCCTCTTCCTCTGGTTCCCGCCTCCTTGTGCTGTTGCTTTTTCCATTACCGTATTCGATCAGACCGAACTCAAATTCTCCAACATCGACTGACCACCACACCCCGTTCTTTGTTGGACAGACCAAGTCCCCTACAGATCCTGCCTTCCGTTTCATTCGTCTAGAAATCCTGTCCCACCAAGATGCCGATGTCTAAGAAGGAGCTCCAGGAGCTTCGCATCCAACCGCGCATGTACAAGAAGCCTCCGTTCTCCGTAGAGGCTCCTGGATACGAGCCGGTTGAGGGCGAGACCATTCCTCGTCGACTGCCCGCCGCCAAGGATGGCCTCATCCTACGCCCGGCTGAGGATGTCGGAACCACCTACGATGTCTTCCGCCGCTCCGCGCGTGTTTACGGCAATGCGAAGGCAGTTGGAACCCGTCACCTGATTAAGACCCATGTCGAGAACAAGAAGGTTAAGAAGATCGTTGATGGTGTTGAGAAGGAGATCGATAAGCAGTGGACCTACTTTGAGATGAGTGGCTACAGCTACAAGAGCTTTGTCGAATACGAGAAGCTGGCCCTTGAGCTCGGCTGTGGATTGCGAAAGCTCGGTCTGGAGAAGCCCGACAAGATTCACCTTTACGGCGCAACTAGGTGAGTCTTCAGTTGAGGTTCGCTGGAGTACCTGAGGAATGCTGACGTTGCTTCTTTTTTTTTTCCGCAGTGCAAATTGGCTGGCCATGTCACACGGTTTGTGCCCAAACTTCTACCTTGGCTCATTGGTCGGCAACTAATCGCAATCCTTGGTAAACAGGTTCCGCATCTCAGTCCTTGACCATTGTCACCGCATATGATACCCTGGGCGAGGAGGGATTGAAGCACTCTTTGGTCCAGACGTCTAGCGCCGCCATCTTCTGCGATCCCGTTCTCATTCCTTCCGTGGCCAACGTTCTGAAGGATGTCAAGTCCATCAAGCACGTCATCTACAACACTGACCAGGAGCCCAAGAAGGAACACTTGGACCGTCTCAAGTCCGAGTATGACTACCTGAACGTCATGAGCCTCGAGGAGCTGCGTAAGCTGGGTGAAGAGAACCCCGTTGATCCTGTCCCCCCGGCTCCTGAAGACCTTTGCTGTATCATGTACACCTCTGGTTCTACCGGTCCCCCGAAGGGTGTCTCTTTGACACATGCGAACGTTATCGCCGCAAGTAAGTTGCTATTCGGAATGCCCCTGACAAGTCGCCGCTAACGCCAATTTTCTATCTAGCTGCCGGTATCCACGAGATTGTCGGCCCTTACATTGGTCCCTCGGATGCTCTCCTCACCTACCTCCCCCAAGCGCACATTCTGGAATTTATGTTCGAGAACCTCTGTCTTTTCTGGGGTGGTACCATGGGTTACGGCAACCCTCGCACCTTGTCTGACGCTTCCATGCGCAACTGCAAGGGTGATATCCGCGAATTCAAGCCCACCATCCTGGTCGGTGTCCCGGCTGTGTGGGAGTCCGTGAAGAAGGGTGTGCTCAACAACCTGAACAAGAACAACTTCCTCATCAAGAGCATTTTCTGGGGTGCCATGTCTGCCAAGAACTTCCTCATGACTGCTGGATTCCCCGGCGCTGACACTGGTGCCTGGTTCCTGGACTCTGTGGCCTTCCGCAAGCTCAAGGAAGCCACTGGTGGCCGGTTACGGATCATGATGAACGGTGGTGGTCCGGTCTCGAAGGACACGCAAAAGTTCCTGTCGATGGCCGTTGCCCCCATGATCAGCGGCTACGGTTTGACCGAAACCTCCGCCATGGGTGCCCTGAACGACCCCATGGCCTGGAACCCTGACGCGCTCGGTGAAATCCCCGCCTCTATCGAGGTTAAGCTTGTTGATTTCCCGGATGCTGGGTACTTTACGAAGAACACTCCCCCTCAGGGAGAAATCTACATTCGCGGAGGCAGTGTCAGCAGCAACTACTGGCAGAACGAGGACGAGACCAAGGAGGCCTACACCGATGATGGATGGTTCAAGACCGGTGACATTGGCGAGTTCGACAGCTACGGCCATCTCAAGATCATCGATCGCAAGAAGAACCTGGTCAAGACTCTCAACGGTGAATACATTGCTTTGGAGAAGCTCGAGTCCATCTACCGCTCTTCTCCCGTAGTCGGCAACATCTGCGTCTACGCCGCCCAAGATCAGGACAAGCCTGTCGCTATCATTGTCCCCGTTGAAGCCACCCTGAAGAAGGTGGCTAAAGACAACGGTATCGAGGGCGACTCTTTGGAGTCTCTCGTTCACAACGAGAAGCTAAAGTCTATTGTTCTCAAGCAGCTCCAGACCGCTGGTAAGGCCGGTGGTCTGAAGGGTATTGAGATCATCAACGGTGTTGTCCTCTCCGATGAGGAGTGGACCCCTCAGAACGTAAGTATTACACAAATCTTCCCCTTTTATGAATGCTGTATTGACAAAGTGACAGGGCTTCATGACCGCCGCCCAAAAGCTCCAGCGCAAGAAGATCCTCAACCGCTTCCAGGAGGACATCGACCGTGCCTACGGCAAGAAATAAACGCCACCAATCATCTAAGTCCGCGACAGCGAACCCTCATCTCATCTCGATCAGCCGCATATCTTATGCCTGCTTTAATAGTATATCCTCTATATCCCTCAGCAACTGTTGTGCTCGCATTATGTTTTGATCCTGCTAATTCGATGTTCTTTTCTCTTTCTGTTCTATGATATACATGTATCATGTTCTCTCCTTTCTTTGTGTATTTCTCAGCTTAGCTAACGCTCGATGTGATACTCATCCCGGTGTCTATGCCATATAAAATTTATCATTTCATTCATGCGTGCCTCATCCGTAAGTTACTAGTAGCAGCTGTACGGGCAGACAAAAAGCCCAACCCAGACAATCAGTCAATAGATAGATGGGTATGTCCTAGCTTCATCCCCTATTCACACTGTCTCTTATCTCTACCACTTTCCTTATCTTCAAAACACTCTAGTTTAGTATGTATTCTATCTACTTGCTATAATAGCTTCGCCAAAAGCATATTACTTTTCAAACCATTGATTGACTCGTACCATACATACCAGTATCATGTATCTATCCTCTAAAGAACATTCCATATCCCATAACAATAGAAAAAAGTCTCTATCTGCTATATAGTACGGAGTATATCCTTTGCAGATATAGAAAGTTCTTCTAATATCTGCTAGTACTAATAGCCATTTCCCCCGCTAATGCAAGATAGTATATAGGTAGATATCACAGAGCCGGTAGTTACTATCGGCTACTGCACGCATGAATCAATTAATGACTTCTTGAATTATCATGGTATATGATATGACTCAAGTACTACTTACTTGATTAACTTAACTAAGTAGTATTAATCTGCTGAGAGAACCACAGTATGTAGAGTTGATCTATGATATACGTCTCTTTGCCGAAATCTTAGTTTCTACCCTGATGAGTGATATACATGCAGTGCATGCTTCTTGTGATGGGTAACATGTCAGATCAATCCTTCTTTCTTTCTTTCTTTTCTTTTTTTCTGATGTGTCTCAAAGAGGGGGAAGAAGATACAGGTCATTTCGTTAATTCGATGGTTCCTGGCGCTATATTGATTGAGACAAAATAGGAAGGCGGAATCGGACGTTAATTGACTAAACCGCTTCGAGACTAGTTCGTATTCAAGTTACTGCCGGAGAGCTCGATTCGCAACCTTCCGGACTGGAAAGAACAGTCGAGTGAAACTATCTTACTTACCCTGGTGCCTAATTACATTCCTATAACATCTATTTCTCGTGTACTTACCATTTTTGTTTCATACTTACAAGGATGTCGTTCTGGAGGTGGGTAATCTTTTACGTATCTAATGAGGAAATAGATTTACGCTGACCGGGAAATACGCACCTCACAGCTCATATCGGTCCCTCTCGCCTAAAACGAGAGCTCTGTTCGGAATCGGCGTGATGGCCTGGGCGTCTATTGGGCTCTGGGTCTCGCCGCAAGTGGAAAATGCTATGGGTATGGCGCCTACGAAGGAGGAGCAGGAGGAGTTGGATCGGAAATTGGCTGTCCGGATATCGAGAGTCGAGAAAGATGCAAAGTAGGAGATGCAGATGGAGGCGGGTACCGTCGGCTACGGCAGTGAGGTTTGGGGGTCTGAATTGAGACGTCAGCAGCCCAACATTTGGTTATCGCAGGTGCAGGCCGCCTTGACCGGTTACTTTGAAACACCAATAGGCGACATTCACATGTTCTTGCGAGTTGAAGCTGGGGCAGGAATAAACCAGAATAAAAATAGGCAGAAGCAGATAGGCGCGGATTTGATTCAAAAGGAGAGTTAGGCGAGTTGCAGCAGCAGGATGATGGGGGGGGGGGGGGGGGGCAGATCTCATTTCTTGTCGTGTGTCTAGCCTTGTCAGAAGTTTGTTGGCGGGACACAACATCCGGAGGCCGTTTCGTGGAACAGAATTTTCATGCATGCAATGTCGGGAGAAGTCTCGAGATGACTAGCTGACGAGCCCATGAAGAACCCAGAGAGTTGCGCTGGCAGTTAGCCGATGCTTGTAGGGGTCGAGGCAAGCAATTGAGCGAGTAAAGGGCGAGAGAAGGAAATGAGACAATCTCCACACAGCTCAGTGCAGGGTGATGGGGCCGGGTATAGTTTACGGAAAGCAAGAAGGTTTGTCTGGGTCAGAATCTTCACCAGCTCGTAAAGGGGGTCGGCCATGGAAGACCAATGTTGACACGACAATACAGCCTTGTCAACACTCAACAGAGGGCTCGCATGGCTGGTAAACTTCTCTTTCCAGAAATTAAAATCGACATTGGGACCATGGTCTCAGGTTCCGAGCAGAATCCAAACGGAGTGAGATCAGCAACCCAGGATCATTTGACGTATACAGACGAGCATGGGGGCACTATTTGACTCAGATACTGCTCGGCTATTGCATGCAAGACTCCGAAGGCCCCAATCTGCGACATCGACTGCTCCAGGAAGATGGGTGGGGCGGGTTGCATCCCATCGACTCGCCCGTGGGAAGAGTAGGGGGCGTGCATGGAAGTGGCAGCGACTGGAGGAGCCCTGGCCGTTGAAAAGGGCAAGTCGACAAGTTTCATACATTGCGTTGGGCGCTGACGTTGGTGCGGTGAAACTGACGCAGATTGGATGCAACGGTTGCACAACGACCCGGAGAGTTGTCCAAAGGGACATTGCGGCATTCTCGTTGGCCGCCCCCTACCAGACCGTACTTCTGTCGGTCAAAATTACCAGGCCTTCTGTGGCTTGCAAGGCTTTGGCCCCATCAGTTTTGCCCGGGTCATTCACCCCCCTCCCTTGTACGACGTGCATGGTGGGCCATTCTAGGGAAGCCAATATTGCCTCAGCAATGCTTGAGTATTTGGTAGCCATCGGGGCCCCGCCTGCGGGCATTACAGAGGTCGGAAACCACTGGAAAGGTGAAGCGTGTCCGGTTGATGTGAGATGGTCTATCATTGCTTAAATCCTGCATAGCCTATTGGGACGGACAAGATTTCCAAGCTGCCGAGATCTGTTGGGGGTGAGGGCTGCTGCTTATGGCGCCTTGATGGTCGACGGAAGGAGACATGTTGTGTAGTATGAATTAAATGATTTTCGCGTTTCTTTTTCCCGATGAGATGGATGCAGATGCATCACTAGAGAGAGTGAGAGAGATAAGGACCGGCAGATTAGAATTTATCGGGTCCGAAAGAACGGCGACGGTGTAGTCCTTGCAGGCTGATATCCAGACCCAAGGGAAACAATAGTCGGCTTAGGATGACTCCGGAACGTGCCGAGAGGCCCAAGGGTTTGGAAGGAGTGGCTCAACCAGACAGACGCGCCCGTCAGCGCTAGAGCGAGTGGTCATGCCGCATGGCGAAGGAGTTGTACCCGAAGGCTTGGAGGCTGGATATCCTGGACAGAGCCCAGTTGACTAGTTACACTTGCCGCCGCGATGGGGGAGCATCGATGGGAGGCGCTAAAAGGGGAGAGAGAATTATGCACGCTCACTAACGAGATTAAATCAGCGGCCTAATGTATGCCCGGTCGATCAGGGAACGCATTGGTGGGATGATCGTCGCGTTAGTTGCATCTTCCTTTTGACGTCGCTCGAGTGCCGTCACTTGCAGCCATGGAAGGATCAGGGACTTCTGACGTGGGGGGGTGACAATATGGAGCCCAAGAAAAAAGGCGGGAAGCAACAGAGAGACATGGATGAGATGTTGAGGTGGACACCGGCTGATGATGATGTTCGCAGGAAGAGCCATGCTCAGGGACAATTACTTACTCTCTGCGGGGCACCTTTGCGTGCTGTATGTATAATGGATGAACTGGCCACCCAACTAGCAAGTCAGTAGTGGGCTCGCCTAATAGATGGATAGATAGTTAGTTAGTTCGTGACTAGGCAGTAGTTAAGAGCAGGAGCTAGTGAGTCTGCTGTCTAGTAGCAGTAGCCAGCCAGGATGGTGCCGGTGAGACGGAAAAATGATCCCATTTCCATTTCCCTCCCCGGCACATCGACAACAAAGGAAAAGCCGCGGGAAAAAGGAGAAGGGGGTGATTGGCCATATCTTCTTTCCCTTTTCTCGCTCGATTGCTTCTAGCATGTTGTCAGTTATTGCAGTCCTTTATTATTCTTCCGTTCTTTGATTTCTAATTTCTGCTGGGTCTGGCGGCGTATGTGGGATAGGAGGAGGAGGAAGTACAGGAGGGGGTATGTGAGTTTCTGGAGTATGTATGGAGTGAGCCAGCAAGTGGAAGTAAGTGTGTGTTGGTGGGTTGGTTTCGGGGCAAGCGCGTCTGTACGGTAAGAGTATTTGGTAGTACCGATAGTAACTCCACCCCCAGGAAAACTTTCCCCGTAAACTAAAAGTCCACTAAAAGTCCACTAAAAGTGAAACTAACTGTAAACTAAACGATCGATCCATCCATCGATCTTCCATCTCAGCAGCATTCATCCACTACTTACTACTCACTTACTACTACGACTAGTAGTATGTACCGATTAGGCATGTCTGCCACCAATTTACTTACTGGGGACCAACACCCCAATGACTGCCGGTGACCGACCGCCAAACTCGGCAAGAACAAATGGAAAGGATGGGAGAGCTTCGGGGTCTCCGTCGATCTTCCCTCGTCATCTGGCCTGAGATCAGATCCAGGCAGCTCGGGGGTTCGTTAATGGCTTGCTCTCTCTCACACCACTACCATTCTCCCCTTCCACTCTCCCCCTCCCTCCGATCCTCTCCCTGATGACTCTCACTCAAGTAGGTATAACTACATGTTCTTTTGTTTGCCGCGGAATTTGCCACGGCTGTGAGCTGGAAGCATGATGATGATCATCTACTAATCTTGGTACTATCGATCATCTATCAATTACGGCATGCTGCATAACTAAGAGTCTCGGGTCTCAATCGGTTGTCCCTTACCCGGTCTTACTCCCACCCTCCAACACCCTCTTTCTCCGACCCCCTCTCTCATTAATACATTGAATTTGCTATCTGTACTTTCAATTCCCGTTTAGGAAGAATATGAGAGATCTGCTTCGTTGGGTTCCTTCGTACCCTTCCATATTACTTCTTTCTTAGCATTCGGGGGGTCTTGTTCTGGTCCAAGACGCCCACTCCGCATGCAGCGAACAGGGTTGGTTAGTTAGATTGGATTGACCTGACAGCGGCATACCTGGCTGGGCCAAGTAGGGCAGCATATCGGAGAAAATTCTACCCCGGCAGTAACCAATTATTACCCCCTCCCCGGCGAACCATAATCCTTCTCCCTGGCAGGCTGGGTCTTGCATGCGAATTATTACTTATCTTGGATCTCTCCTATTAGTCGTATCGTATTGTGTTGTGTCTCGACTGGTCATGAAATTCTCCACTCTAGGAGAGACGCTCGATCTCAGCCTCCCTGCCGGTCCTTATCTCTGCAAAGACAATTCTCTGGTACTTTGTTCTAACATCAAAGACTTGCTTAATCCAAGAAAATAGTCAATGGTATTTATTTTTGCTTTTTACGCCTGCTCGAATAGGAAAATTCAGGTCTCGTCTACATGTAGAAACTCAAATGTTTTGGGCCCCGTCTGTTGGTAAACGGGGAATGGAAGCAATGCATCCTCCCTTTGGTCCTTCCGGAGGCAGCATCAATAGGGGGTTGCGATAGGGGAGGGGAGAAAAGGGAAATTGACAGGCTGGAAACAAGAAAGTAAATAAAAGTGGGGCGAAGGAAAAGCAAAGGGAATGAAACAAGACCCGGTGTACAAGGATCCCCAAAAGGAGTCATCACCGTGGTAATGCCATTTCAACTTTCTGTCAACATGGGAGTGAGGGCAAGTCAGCTCATTTTCGCAGTCTATAGGCACGCATAAATCATCGGATGTCCGTCGAGAGCTACCAACGCAGTTCGGCAAACGTAGGGTCAGGCGCTCCGGACAGAACAATTCATCTGGGGCAAGTCTTTTCTGCTTCATTAACAGGTAAAACGAAAAATGAAAGGAAAGCTTTCCAAAAGCGTTTGGATCACATAGAGAAAGAATTGCAGAAACAACGGAATAGGAAAAGAGAAAAAGAGAAGGTAGGGAAATAGAAGAAATGACAAAAAGATGATAGAAAGTAAAGAATGTAAAGTAAGTGAGGAAAGAAATGGACAGTGACAGACACACAGCACGAGAGAAATGCGTGAAGGGTTCACAGGGACTGAGAGGGAAAGGAAACGACCAAAGACCTGCTAAGCGCACAGACTTTGGGAGTTGGAAAATCGACCATAAGAGCTACCATCAGCGGTGCGAGTCGAATAGACGGGGTCAAAGCCACTACTGTTAGAGTGCTGGTACAGGTGAGAAGCCAGCCGAGGGGGATGTTTCAGGTAATGCGGAGATTCATGCTGGTCATTACTCGTCACCAGAGATACCATCGACTCATACGGCTGGGGCAACCCATGGCCCGTCTCTTCGCTGGTTTTGGATACGGAATCGTACTCGAACGAGGGCGGTTGATGGCGAAACTGGCTTTCCGGCTTTCGGTTGTTCATAACGCTGTAGTTAGAGTCCTGATAGGTATCCATGCTGGACGAGCTTTTCATCGAGTCCATGGGATCCATGGTGTTGTCATTCATGAGCCCAATATCAAACGCCGATGACGAGGATGACGATATGTGCGGACTCTCGCTTAGCGGTGACTGGTCTGGTGCGGTCATTTGATGGTAATCTGTTCGACCGTAATGTGGCCCACCGCGCTGAGAGTGGTCGTACGGCATGAGGGCCAAGTGAGACCGTGCACCTTGTCCTAATCCTGGAGGTAGGACAGCCCCTCCACTTCCATCGCCAGAGCCACCGCTCCCTCCATCGGGGCCCATGCTTGTCGAACTATCGCGGCGGCCGTCTTTGTAATGGCCCGGAGACCGGCCCCGGACTACCATTGGATGCGAAAGTCGCCTGGCAATCCTGACCCATTGGGTCTCGGTACCTGGAACGGAACTGGCGACCTCAGCGTAGAGTTCAACGACTAGGTTGTAGTACTGCTGTTGGGCTCGCCGTTTCCCATTGTTCGCCGTCGCCTTCTGAAATTGAATCCGCTCAAACGTGTGCTGGGTTGGCGGTTGTGAAGGTTGGCCCGCTCCTGGGTAGCTATTGTAATCCAGCGACAACCCAGCCGACTGCGAGGCCAACGAAAACCCATGTTGACCGCTGTTTGGTGATGCACCATGGCCCAGAACCAAAGGCGTAGGTTGAGAGGGTTGCAATATGACCTTCCCCGGTTTTCTTTCCGATTGCTTGTCCCGCTTGGGGGTGTGTTGAACCAATTCTCGAACTTCCCCGACTTGTTGATTCACTACGGCGGAAATAGACATAGCAAATTTTATAATGCGATCTGGGCCGTGCTCGGACAGCTTCACATACAGTGGAGCGTTTGCCCACGGCTGCAACGTGAACGAACACGAGACTGAGAAATAGTTGCGTCTATAGCACGTCCACTTATCATCGACCTGGAAGAAACCTTTATGTATCTTGGCTTGTATTTCAGGATTGATTGTTTGGGCACCGGAGATGACCGGTTGAATCACCATAGTTTCGCCGAACGGAGGAGCATCGGCAACTGGTTGTGGCAAGCGTTGTTGGACGGCATCCATCAACATACTTCCCGATCCAATGTACACACTCGGAGGTCGATCCATAGTGCCCTCGATAACGCCTCGAGGCGTGGTTCCAAAGGGTGTGATCCTATTGATTTCCCCGAGACCTGTCAGAGGCCCTTGGAACGGTCCTCAATGGAGAGTGTACGCTCCCGGATACCCTTCATTTCGCCCCATAATGGAGGTACTTCCAGGAACGGTTGTCCCCTGTGATTGCAGGCTGGGTGACATGTTGGCGGGCGGCTGGCTGTACAGGTCCCAAAGTTTTCTTATCAATCGGTGCATGTCAACCAAGGATCAAAGATCGAGACAGACTTACAGTGGGGGCACCCGATGGGATCTGTAATCGGACATCCTATCGTATGACATTCCTGAAGAATGCGTATACAGTGAGGTCGACGAAGGAGAGAATGTTTCTGTAAAACACCACACCATAATGATGGAGGGCGCATATTAGCCGATGATGGGAATGCCGAGAGATAAATGAAAACGAACCAGAGCATGTGTCAGTAGGGCTCATGAGGATGGAGGTAGGAGACGTCGGAAAGCTAGAAGAACGGACCCAGGTCAGTATGTTGTTGCATCTGCTGGGTCTATGCCGAAAATAATCATCGAGGGTGACAGCAGAAGAAAAACAAGATATAGAACGCTTGGATCCCAACGCATCACGACCATACAGCATGTATAAATGAACCAGCGACGAGCTGTGCGGCCATCATTTGCGAGAGGGTATGCTAAAGATTCGGTAATGCGACCAGGGAGCAGCAGGTAGACGCATGCAAGCAGCAGTTTGGTATAGACCATTAAGGATGGCACTTTCACAGAAAGGGATAGGGAAAGTAGGAATAAAATAAATTCAAAAAAAGAAAGAAGGGAGCAATGACGAAAATGAATGATGAGAAATAGGCGCTCAAACGGAAAAGAAAAAAGGAAAAAAAAAGGGAAATAGGGAAACAAAATCAAATAAGGAAAACATGAATAAGAATGTAGAGCCACTTGACATCCCCAGGGCCAAAGCAAGTAAGTCAGAAAGATTCAGAAATAATCAAGATTGCCGTCACTATCATTAGCGTCAACAACACATAATAAAATCATCTTGATAATAATTAAGGGTAGGGGGTGGTAGGAGGTGAGAGGTGAGAAGAAATTAATAAAAAGGAAGAAATAAAAAAGAAAAACAAAAGAAAAAGGAATAGCCCCAAAAAAATAAGAATTATAATAATAATAACAGCAATACTAATAAAGAATAATAAATCAATCGAGGGCGTTGGGCCAACTATTCAGGTTATTCGGACTAGAAGGGAGAAGCTGTGACTAGTGGCTGCAAGCGGGCCAAGTGGAGCACAAGGGCAGTCCGAATTGAAAGACAACTTACGGTACCTCCTGCATCGCAGGCTGCTGTGTGTTGTATCGCAGGCCGTTGGTAGCTGGTATTGACACTGGCTGCGCCAGCGGGTGGCCAACAGCACCGCCCCTTCGGATATTTTCCTCCTCATCCATGGAAAAGCCTGTCGAACTTGAAAATGGTCTTGACGTCCCTGTATAGTCCCCGTCGGTGTTTATCGGGCCGTCCAGTGGAAAGGTGCTTTGCAGGAGCGTTGCTAAGAAAGAGCTCATGATTAGAATGCATTGCCAGGTCCCATTCGAGAGCGAGGAGAATCAAAGCGCAATACTTGAGTGAAGAAAAGAAAGATGTAGAACGAAAGTATCAGATGCACGTATCAATAACAATGCGAAGAAGAAAGGAAGCCGAAAAGAACGAAAAAAGAAAGGATGCAAATTATCTGATCAGACCGGTATGAAATAGGGACCCCCATCCCTGTCGACCGAGGAAACAGTATCTCCTGATGTCATTATAATACCAGAGGAACGAAGAGCCTGAAATGGTGTAACCAAGTAGAAGAGCTTGAGATGCGAAAAGGAAGAAATAAACGTCACCCCGGATGTAGATCGCCTGTCAGAAGCAAATCGCAATCAGGTCACGAGTGCAAAGCCCGCTCCTCAGATCGTATCTTGGAAAGAATGGCGGTAATAAAGAAAACCATACCCGTGACAAAACCCAGTCCCCAACAGTACTAAAATGAAGCGAGCCCACTCACAGTGATTCATTTGCGAACTTGCGACAGTCAACTAGCAAGCTGCCGGTAAAAAAGATTTTCAAAGACAAGGTAGATCAGTGAACCAGGGTATCTTGGCTTAGCAAGCTAGACGCAGGAGACCGATTCGCGTCTGGGACCCTTGAAATCAACGCAAACTAAAGCACTAAAAGTACGCCCGGCGAGCGCTAGGCTTGGGCGGCGCCCCAACAGGGGTATGCTAGAAGCTGAAAAGGCGAGAGCTAGCGAAAGGTGTTAGTGAGGTAGTCTATTGGACCTGCAACCGCGCGCCTTGACATACACTATCGCTCTTGTTCGGAGGTAATGGAAAATGGTATGATCCCTGGTATAGCGACGCGCTTCTATAACACCGTCAGTGACTCAAGTAACCGCTAAAAGGAATCCAACACAGGCGAGTGTGGACCTTCCAAAATCCCCTAAAGAATGACGAAGGCTGAGTAGTGCACTAAGTAAATCTGCTTCGATGCTCTTGTAGCTGATCAGGTATTTGGTCCCAGTGAGGTGGACGGCATGTTCATGTTAAAGGGGCGGACAGAGAGGGGTAGACGGAACTGATCTATGACAGAATAGAAGAAGCCAAACAAAAGAGGAAATTCCGTGGGGTTGAGGAGAAGGGGGAAAAAGAAAGAAAGAAAGGAAATGATCAAAAAAAAAACATAGCAAGCATCCGTAAGTACTGGTTCTCAGCGTTCCATGTTCGCCACACCAACCATGCCGAAGAAGATCTCTCAACGGCTTGCTAGGTAAACCTTACAATGAAGATAGAGTGTAACAAGTGCTGTCAAGGCATAAGCTTACCGACACCACGGTGTAGTGATCGGTGATAAGTGGCTTGGTTGAAAAAAAAGATGTAGGGTTCAAGACAAGAACCTTTGAAGGAGCAAGTGGCAGCGGAAGCATTTCAAACAACGGAATAGTGATGGAAGCACTCAACAGGGTACAAGAAGAAGAATAGAAGCGATGAATATGGATGAGGTCAGAAGCGAGGCAAGGGCAGAGAGAAGATAGATATGCATGTGCCATAGGCTTGGTGCAGAATCCAAAATGTTATGAAAAATGGCAGACTCACATGTATCAATTGGCAGATGATGAGCAAGTTGAGTGAAGAGTGAGGAAGGTTATTTTGCATCTACCACTGCAGCTTTCAATTTTGAGATGCAACCCTATATGTATGTATATCGGCTATCCCAATGTTCCGCTTGTCCACGTCAAGGAGATAACTGTTGGGCTCAGGGCTCCAATTTGGCCTCTCGGTGGATTAATCAGGAATTCTGACAAAGAAGATGGAGAAATGGGTCGCAGAGGCCTGTTAGCCGCGCTGCAGAACGAGCAGTTGACTGGTAAAATGGCCCTGGACCGGCAATCGAGGGATCTGGTCGCTTGATATCTGTTTCCCGGTGTTGGATGAAAAACCACTTCCTTCATGTCATGGTATTTTCTCCTGCTCACACCAACACGACGCCCACTTTCTCCGCTGTCTACCTAGCCTGGCCCCTTTGCGGCGACCAATGAGCGATCCTGGTAAGATGCGGCGGAAATGTCTGCAGAAGCTCGTTGTGCACAAGCCCTGAGAGCTTCAGGTTGCCAATTTAAGCTTGAAAGCGAATACCACTTTCGCCACGAGTTTGCTGTTGAGTTTCGTCGAAGCCAGGGTCAAAGACATTTGTTGTTTCCGATCCATGACTGAACAGAAGAAAAAGAAAAGAAACGGACTACAATGGGTGCTGCCTTTGGGATACGCTTGCGCGAATAGAAAAGGCGCTCTTTTGTTTTTCTTCCGTTTTCCATTTTCGTCCCTGCGGCGCACTCCTCCCCTCCTCTCTCCGTTCATTTCCAGAAAAATAAAAATGCTTCGCTCTTTTTTTGAATACTCCTTTTTTTTTTTTCTTCTTGTCTTTTTTTTTTCTCTATTTGAGATATTTCTAATTGTTTTGGTGGGTGGAGTGGGCAACTGCCTTCCTGGCTGATAATGGGTGTATCAACTAAATGGCGCGCGAAAGGGATAAAAAAGAGTTTTGGACCCTGTCGAAACCGTTGGAGAGACACGGCATTCGTTGAAATCCATGTTACATCCCCATGGTCCACGTCTAGGCAGACTTCAAGGCTGCACAAACTCAAGAGCAGAATGGAGACCAACCTGGACATGGTTCAGCCGGCGGCATGATTGGTGAACTGTCCATACTCCATACAGAACATCACCGGCAAAGTCAGCTGTCCTTAGTGTGAACACCCGGCGAACGGCAAAGTGCAGCAAAACAAATTAGAATGGTGCTAGAACGGATTAGTAGCGACGATCATCACTCCGGGAATCGTGCAGACCCCAGTCGCATGACGGAGACTGTTGATAACTACTGAGCTTGGGCAGATGCAGACAACCAATAGCTTTCAAGGCCATTGACGAACGGTTGATGTACTCCGTAAAAATTTGTACAGTCTCAGACAGGGACTGTGGACCCAAAAAAAGAATCCATGTTCTAGGCATGAGCTCCGGCCTTGGATGCTCTCAAGAGGATCTCGGGTGCTTGAGGCACGAGCAGCAGTAGCTCTTGCATGAATGAGAGATCAGGCGATCGACATGTTCGATCCAACGGTTGTTTTAATTTATTCTTGTTATTTTTTTATTTTATTTTAATATTTTTTTTTCTCATTACCGTATGGTGGTTTGTTCACTCACCGACATGGGTTTGAACGCTTTGGAAACGATTCGAATCCGAAATGCGGCCAATACAAAGAGCAGTGCGTAGTCATGGCCCGCCCCATACACACTAATCGGTTGGAACTTTTGGCTGTACTAGTAATAGTTAGGTAGTTAGGAAATATGCTCTAGCAACAATGATACCTTCTTCCAGTCACACCACCCTTGCCCGATACGGAGGAAGTAACATTTGCTGTAGGGAGCACACGGCATTGTTTTCTAGAATCGATAGGATTCACTGATTGGTGAGAGGGCAAAGGAGACCGCCGAAACTGAAGCGGGAAAAAAAAAAATACTTGATAGATACGGAAGAGTGGTCTCTGGTATCCCAGCCAGTGGGGGTGGGCGTGAGTATGTTCTTTCTCTCTTCTTTCCTTTTTCTTTCCTTAATTTTAATTGGTTTTATTTTCCCCTTTTCCTTTTTCCTCTTATTTTCTGACTTCCTTTCCTGATCCGGTGAAGGATTAATATGTGGCTGCATGATCATCCAGGCTTGCAGGAAGCTAGTTGGTTGAGATGTGATATGCACCGTGCTGAAAAAAGTAGCCAAGGATGTATAATTGGTGGAGAACCAGTGCTAGGTTTTTATTTGGGAGCCATTTGTTGGAGGCCTGTATAAGGGTATGAAGTCCCTAATGGACGGAGGGCGAATGTCGTGCAGGATGTGTCCGCGGGATGCGGCGCGAATCCCATAGTAACCTTGAACCAGGGGGGCCTAGAGACGGAGGTTGCATTTCAAGCCAGGGTAAGCCCCATTAGCACGTTGAATGGAGCCTGTCGGGGGGGTTTGATGTCCAAGGGTAGGGCGTCAAAGACCCATAAGATCCAAATTTCTTCCTAGACAGGATACTGCTGATCGGCCATGATGGCTGAGGTATTGGTGATATCGGCAAAGGGACGAACTTTCTTCAGAAGATATCAGAAACAGAGAGAAGACTGCCATAAAATGAATTTCTTTCCAAATGGTGAACATCTCTGGAATCTGTTTGTGGAGTGCTTGATTTCCCTGCTTATTCTTTCCCCTTTGAATTTCGTGCGCCTGGTTCGGCGGCCACACCAAAACATGAATCGGGATCCGCATCGTGACGCTAAACCCAACCCGACCGAAGGCACGTGCCCCGCATGGGGTCTACCCCAAAGAGTATAGCGGCATACCTGTATGGACCTTCTTCTTACAACAATTGAGTCTTCGACCATCCACCCCGTTATCGTCCTTGTCCTTGTCTCCTCCATCCATCCATTCTTATTGTTATGGCATCCAAATGACTAGTAGTCTTGCTGTTGGGGCCACCAGAAAACCTTGTTTAGGCAACGGTCCTCGGCCATGCGTGATGATTCTCCTCCTTCCCGTCTATAATAGGCATGCCCAGATTGATGCCATCCACGATGGCCGCCTACACAATAGCAAAAAGTTTATTGCTTGCTGTCTTGGCCGCCATTCACAGCTTGATCTAGAGTCCACTCTTACCCGTGGGGACTGATCAGCGAATCACAGGGTATCATCTTATGGAGACACAAGTTACCGTGACTCGTGGGAAGCAGGCCTGCTCCCACTCCGAAGGAACCCTTCTCCACTACCGATGTCCATAGTGAGTAAACTTGTTTAAAGTAATTTCTTTTTCTTTGTCTCAACTGGCTCCAGCCTTTTCTTGGTTAAGAGAGGCCCGTCCGTCCGGAAACCCGTCCCTATTAGAGTTCGAGCAAGGTCCCATTCAAGACCGTGGCTTCTAGCCTATCCGGGAATGTGTTGGACCTGTCCTAGGGTTGCCCGTGCTAACATTTTGTGCATCTGGAGTACTTCCGATTGACTCGCATCCTAGTGTTCCAGGAGCAATAGCTGCGACACACTCTTCTTCTCACCTGCTGACTTTACTACCGCACTGGTGGCTGATACTCTCTGCGGACGGCACTCCTGTACGACAATCGACTAATTACCTTTATAACCCATAATAGAGCGAAGGGACAGCTATGGCATGCTTTGATCTGCAGCTGGCCGATATTACGGTTTGGACCATCAAGATAGTCCGCACATCGGTTGTCATGTCAATTAAAGCAGCTGAGCTCATCTTGAGTCCAGAACAGTCGGCTTTAATTTCCGGGATCCCCTAATGTTCCCACGTTTGAATGAACCCTTGGCGGGCCTTTAGTGCCCCAACTTCAGCTGCCCGACGAATTGTGATTTTCACTTTGCATCTGGCCCCATTCATTCAATTGCTCTCAACGGACCATCACATCGAGAAGATGGTCTCGACGAGGTCGACCGTGTTCCTTCTGCTAATGTGCAGGTACAGGACATTTCAGATAGATACGATTGTTCTTGGCGTCCCAGAGCACAAGCTGTCCAATATATTCTCATGAACTACTATAATGGGTGCACAAGTATCACTGCAACGCGTGTCATAGCCGACAACTTGCGCTAAATTCGCTGTAACCTCGGACCCGAAAGTATTCATGCGGTCTGCATAGGCTCTGGTCAGCCACTTGTACGATTTTTTGATTGCCTTCAACTAGGATTCTTTGTCAGGCAAGGTCAGGTGTAGTCCTATTGTAAGGGACCCTTTGCTTGGTGAGTATGGCTCTCTTTGGTCTTGCAATCACCTGTAGTGAGATGCTGGCCTTGTTAGGGATATCGCCCTGCTACTTGTCAGCTACAAGGGATTTCGTTCTTGATTTCCGCGATATTTCTCTTCCTTACTAATTGCAATATGCATCTGATTGTTCGACAAAGCACGCTGTAACTACGAATAGGCCTACATACCTCTCTGTGGGTGCGCTCGCAAGCCGGGGCATCTTTACCACATCCAGCCTGTCTGTGCAACTTGTCAGGCTATTAGTCAGTCGATCAATGATCTATGCTGGTGTCCTTCATCGGTGCATAGTACAGCCCAGTTGCAAAATTGATGCGAGTGGTGCTAGGATGCATTGAATAATGATGCCCTATCTTTCTTGATCCCTTTTGCCTGTCCATGGTGGTATGGCTTGACAGGTAAGCTGTATACTATTCTCAGGCCATGACTGACGTGTTCCCAGCCTCAGCAGTATCCCCTAGTATGCAGCGTACGGAGAGCGGCACGAATAAATCTAGCAACGAAAAAGAACCGAGAAAGTCGCCGGTGGCTGTGAGGCGTATGCCTGCATGAAGTCTGATGATGGACCAGCCATAGAATTGGATGTGCCAAACAGAATGTGATGAAAGGGCGGCCGTCATGCCTGATTAAGCGGTAGTGGCAATGGTGACGTTGATGGAGCTTCAGCCAACGGACTGGCATGTCCAAGTGCACGAGGACACAGAGCGGGCAGTGGAAGCCCATCTGCCAGTCCTGTACGCTCCTTGAGTTGCACAGAATGAAGCCAGAGGGTCTGTCTCAGAGCCAAGAAAGGCTAGTTTCAGGACTTGCTGGAGACTCCCCCCAACGATACACAAAACCATTGTTGACAACTTTCCGTTCCATACCCGTTTTCATGCAATGTAACCAGCCATCTGGACACACGGAACCATTCACAATCCTTCCGAGCAGCGAAAGCCCCGGGCTGTGAACGAGGATTACACGAAGCCAAATTGATTTTGACTGGAGATCGAAACCACTGGCCTGGCGCCACGCTCTGATTAGTCCCGTGCATCCATCTGTATGCTAGGAGAAGCCGTCCTCTAGCCCGGAGGTCATGGGCGGCTCGATATCGATCTCACATCTGGTCATGCTCTCCATACAAGGTTGAGTCGTCTACTCGAGCAATGCGTCGTTCCCGCTTGCTATGCCGATTTTCTTCCCTAGCCAGACACACATGCAGAGCTGCCTTGCCGATGACACTCATGACGAAGCTCATACAAAAACGCTACTAGCCAGCCTTCCATCTTTACCAAACGACTACACAGGCACCCTTCGGTATTGTCATGATCAGTGTCCCGGCATCCCTGACGTCCCTAGACAGCTAGCTGTTGACCCCCGAACCACCTACACACTGACCGTGATCTTGGCTCGTTGGTCCGCACTCTGGAGACCCATGGTCATTATCCACCATGCATCTCGTCTCTGCAAAGCCTGATCAGCACAGTCAATGCTGCCTTGTCGCGTCCCGGGTGGCTCAAATCCAGGCCTTCCTGACACATGCCGCCAAATCAGAGGAGCTTGTCAGCTAATACGCATCGAGTCATCTTAGCAAGGATCTAATAACCAATTACCCGAGATATACCAAGCAAGAGGCTCTACAACATCCACCATATGATTGAAAAGTAGACCCCAGCCAGGCTGTCAGTACTGAACGGACGATAATACGGAGCATTACCCCAATAGCCAATAAAACCTGTTCCTCCCCGTCCTAGAACCTGGACAGCACTACTAGGTTCCCAAGTAAGCAGGACCGAACCTTTACCTAACTACTCTACTCCATGTAGTGTGACTCGAACGAGCAAATTGAAATACTTTTGTTTTTTGGGGTTGAACCTTCTCCCTCGATCTAAGTATACTTCCACCCGCGATCGATCAATGCACGGAAAAGTAAACAAGGAAAAGAGGGCTTGCAAGCAAGCTTGCCTTGCCTTGCCTTGACTTGCAACTCAGCATGATAAATAGACACATAGAACCGGAAAAGAGTAGTGCGTGAATAAGACAAATAGACCACGCTGCTTTTCTTCGTATCAAATCGACCCAAAAAGCAAAGAGAAGACGACACACGCACACACATTGGGATGTCCTCCCCCATTTTTTTTCTTCAGTAATCATCATTATCGATCGGATCATACAGTACAAAGAAAAGTAGTCAATAGATGAGATGAAGATCTTCTTCAGCCATGGAAAGTGTGGATGGATGGAGAACCCGCCTGCCAGACGAAAAGAGACCCAAGGGTGTCATGTCATGATACGTACGGAAAACCAAGAAGCAAAAGAAGAAGTTAATAAGGAGGAGAATAAAATGGGAAGAAAAAATGGGAATTGGAAATTGGAGAAATCTAAGTGGCACGCTTGGCGAATTCGACGCGCAGGATAAGGTGACGGTAACCGACTAGATGAAGAGGAAATGTTAGTTGCGATTCCGATAACTTGCTTTGCTGCTGACATTGCAACGATGGCGGAAAAAAACAAAACAGAATATGACGAAAAATGGAAACGTAACCGGGAGGGATAACTTACAGCCATCCATCTTCTCGCAAGCACGTGCAGCATCGCTCCGATCCGCAAAGCTGATGAAAGCGAAGCCCTTGGCTCTCTGGGTTTCTCTGTCTCTGGCAAGGAAGACTCTGGTGACACGACCGAAGCGTTCGAACAGATCCCGCAGTTCTCCTTCCTCTGCCAACTCGCTCACCTGTTTGGGTTTATTGTCAGTCAGTGATGTGTCCGTGGGAAGCAAATGCAATAGAAGCAAGGAAATTAGAGGAAGCTGATTGCTGTTCTCATGACATCCATGTGTCTGCCCGAAAGGGCTGCTGCCTCTTTCTTTCTCCCTCTGAACGACACCAATAGGAGTGTTTAGAGGGCAAAGGGAGGGCAGAGCAGGCAAGGGAAAGGAGGAGAGAAAGAGACAGAAAGAGGAAAACTAGCATCCCCTGTCCCTCGACCCCTCCCCCAACCCCTCCGGGGAGACCAGCAAATAGCCAAACACAGAACAGTAAATCAAAACAAGGAGGGGATGGGAAAACTCACGTTCGTAACTCTCAGAGTCGCCAAATCATCCTTCTCATACTTGCCAGCCATTCTCTCTCCGCCACCAGCAGCACCCTTCCGCAGATGAGGGGGCACGTAGCTAGAAGTACCAGCACCCAAAGCGCCAGCAGCCGGAGAATCCTCATCACCAGCCTCTCCACCAGCAGTGGGCTCGTCGACAGGAGCCATAGTATCCTTGAAGGGACAGCGAGCAGTAAAGTGCTCGCCACTGCAAATACGACACTTGACCTTCTTGTCCTTCAGCTGATCCTTCACACTGCCCTTCTCGCCACCGTTCTTCTCCGCCTCAGCCGCCTGAAGCTTCCAGTTGACGCTGGGCCGGAAAACAATGTTCTCACCCACGGAGGTCGTATCGAACGAAGGTCCGGGCGCGTTGCCCTTCTCCAGACCGAACTTGGCCCAGGACCTCCGCTCCGCGACCTGCGGGTTGACATGTTCGCGCACAACGGTCGTTTTGATCCGGCGGGTCACCTTCACCTTCTTGCCTTCGTCGTTGAATCGGTAGGAGACGATCGTCTTCGTGCCATCTTTGTTGGTCGTGATTTGCTGCGGGGGGAGAGCGGAGGGGTCGTCGAACTCCTCGTCGTCGGCCCAGTCGGCGCGGCTGGAAAGTGGAAAAAGGTCCTGGTCAGATTTTCTTTCTTTCTTTTTCTTCTTTTTTGTCGCTTCGTGGCCCTGGTTTTTTGGGGGTGGGGAGTTTCCGCTTACTTTCCAAGCTTCGACATTGTGCGTGTGATGGGGGGGGGTTGATGATGTCGCCGATTGTTGCTGAATTTCTGGATTTCAGCGAAAGATGCAAGATCCGTTGTGGATTTGTTCGGCGCGGCAAATGGCCTGTGGCGCATGCAATCTGTGGCTGGTGCTTCGGTGCCTGGATCACGTGATACACGGGACAATGGCTACAATTGGTATGGATGCATCGAACGTCATTTTATCATCAAGCAGGTCTTTTTGTAGATTTTCTTTAACTTTAGATACATATTAGACAGCATATTAGTTGGAGAATTGACTCAATGGTTATCTAGATTTCTCGCTGCTAAAATAGATCAGAATGTCGACAACGCCTAACGCAAGTGTTCGTCCTTCAATGGGTAACCATTCTTCTTTTCGTCCTACTTCTAAGCTCCTTAGCAAACGATTGACTAGTTTTTGTCACTGAGATATGGTGGTAGGATAATGTCCAAAGGAAAGCTCATAAAGGTTAACGGTCAAACGTATTCGGCTTTGACGCTTCCATGATTGCAGCCTTCATACCAGAACATGTATTCACAGTGAGCGGAATAGTACACCGCATGGATTTGAAATCCGATCGTGTAGTAGAGCTCGTTATCTGCACCATGGCAGATTGGGATGCGATTCTTTTCAATCTGATTAAGGATTGGATTCAACTTGGCATGTTGCTTCACGTCTAAGAACGAAATGTCAATAACTCATAATCATCATCCATAATCAGCTACACGAGAGTACTCACGGCGATTGAAGTACAACGGTGGCTTCTCACCCATAGGAGTATCGAGCCTGTAGAGATTGACGCGGATTGAGTCGAATGTGCCGTCCTTGGCAAGCTTATGCTGAGACCAGTTCGTCTTAATGGCCTTCGCTTCTTCGATATCGTCCCCCTGAACTTGTTATCAAAGACCAGAAGTGTGTTCGAATATCGGTCCATACCTTGGAAACAAACCAATGCATAACATCAATATAGAACTTTCCTTCTTTGGCATTCCAGTACCTGGAATTATTAGGCCACTGGGACGAAGAAATGGAAGACGGATGCTGGAACACATTGAGCAGGCAGTCGCCACTTACTTCTTCTTTGCATCATGCACTTTATCAATGAATCTAGTCGAACAAATCATTCCATAGTTTTCCCTTGCCTTTCGGGAATCGACGTATGTTTTTATCTCTGTGTCGGAAACCTCCCCAAGAGTCTTCGTCAACGCGCCTCTGACAACAGCAGTCCAGCCGTCAACTGGTGCTATCACTTCGACTTCAGGAGAGAAGCAGTCGCGAAGATATGTGCGAAGGTATGGGCTCTGTCCAAACCCTCCAACCAGGAAAATTGCTTTTACCTGAGCGTCAGAGGTCTCGATCTGCTCTCGGACAAGGTCCTCAATGTCTCGTAGGATAGGCAAAAACAGTTGCTGCATCTCTTGGCCAGTAACTCGGAATCGGCCGCGACGAACCCCGACTTCCTGGCTGTCTGCTATACCTGGAACAGGGAACATGAAGTAATCGTCTGTATTTCCACTGAAAGTTCTTTTAGCGACAGTTTCAAATCGATGCATTGCTTCATCCAGTGTATCCCTGTCCCAGCCAGGGAGGGAGGAGAGGCGGTCATTTAGCATCTCTTCAAAGCGTCTGTTGACAAAGGTGCTTCCACATAGAGATCCAGTACCGGGTGCTTCCTCCTTTAGACGCATATTAGGCGATAGCTCGATGATTGTGAATGTGATAAGATCGACAGTGCCCCCTCCCGCGTCACAAAGAACGATGGTGTCTCCGACCTCCAGTCCATGAGGACTAGAAGCACGAAGGGAAAGTATAGCAGCAGCTTCAAGCTCAGATACTATGCGTACTTTGGATGCTTCTCCAAAACCTGCCTTTTCTGCGCAGGACATTGTCGTCATCTTTGCTTTATCTGACCAAATTGCAGGCACTGTGATGACGAATTCAAAGCCCGTACTGTCCAGTGAACTACCAAGCTTCAGCTTTAATATGCCAACAGCATGTTCGCGAAGGCAGCGGAGGTAATCCGTCACAACATCTTCTGGCGATGAATGATAAGGGACTGGAATACGACGACAATCATTGTAAGTTGCAGACAATCGAGATCCGACCCCAAGCTTATGGTCAGGAACAAGGCCGAGTTTGATCCATTGGACTCGAGGCATGCTGTCGAGAATCTGAAATCCCCATAGACATTTCTTTCCGGACTTAGCGTACTCATAGGTGACCTCGCTGGGTACCTTTTCACTAGTCAGCCCATCACATGTGTCAGAAGTATTCTGTGGCCATTGGTTGATAATGTAATGAGTATCTGGCTGAGGAAGGCATCAGTAATATGACCCCAAAGACGGTAGCAGTGTGCTTGACAGACGTCACTCATTTGACCCCAGGCTATCCCAGAGTATGTGGTACCAAAATCCACCGCGATGACGATAGTCCTCTTATTGGAAGAACCGGCCATTTCCCCAATTTTTGTAGCTCGTTTGACTGGTGCAGAATGACTGGTTCTTACGACAGGATGGTCCCAAGCACAGAATGACGAACCAAATGCACTTCGCCCAGGTTCCCTGCGAGAAAAAGGTGACAGTAAGATTGAGATGAACACTTGGTGATTCTGTATTGGAAGAATTTACCTTGTAAGCTTCGCTTAGGCGTTACCTTGTAAACACAGTGGCTGGAAACCTCATTCACCCAAGTACGTGTTCCTTGGGTCCTGAAAGGAAAAGTCTACGACAATTCACTACCAGGTCATATAGTACCTGACTTGACAAGAACTTTCCTCCACACCGGATTCTCTGAGTTAGTATCATATCTCCTTCCTCTATTGTGCTTTCCAAAACATCGATTCCATCCCATAGTCACTCCCTTTCAACTAGTAAGAGCCGAATTGACAATGGAAAATGTAGGTATCGTGAGTCGAAAGGGAAATAGACAATTTTCCTATCTGTTTGGCACAATATCTGATCAATACACAGGAAAAGGCCAAGCACACAAGTCAAAATAGACCAGTCAATGTCACTCAAACCTTGAGTAACAGAGATAGAGAAGGTCACTGTGAGCTCGACTTGATGCGACTCTATGACCGTGTGGGGAAATTATCAGAGTCACTGGGCCATGAGCTATCCACCCTCAGATGTGTCTCTGTTGACGGAAGAGACACCATAGGCTTGATGCGACAGGAGAACGCCAAATTGAAGAAATGTAACCAGACTTTAGAAGAACAGTTGCAAGACTGTCAAGCCAGGATCCTCAAATTCTCTCTATCGAGCGACTTGAGCGACACCACTGTTATGCAAGAGTTCGTTAAGATCCGGGACAACCTCTCCAACTGGATTGAAGGGCTTCCAGAAATTTGCGCGGACTTTGATACTCAATTGGAATGCGCGTTGGAAGGTTTCCAATGTTATCTTTATATATTTGGAGGCATGAATAGCTATCCGCAAGGTACCCTTGGGGTTCAGTCTGAACTATTGATGCATATAGTATTCCGTCGTCTCGAGGCAGGACTGCTCAAGGCCTCAGTCCCCGGGATGCCGGCATCGGAGGAGGCGCTCTTAAGTGATCTTCATGCGGGAATGGTCTCACTACAGTCCAAGAGAGGTAAGCAACATGGGAAGCAGTATGAGGTACAGCCCCCAGAGTCGCTAACGCTGATAGATGTCGAGAGTTTAACCCTTTGGAGAACGAACACCATTAGGGCTTATGTTGCTTGCCAAAGATATGAAAAAGGTGTCAATGAGGAGTTCAAGGATATAATTAATGATTTACACGACCTTTTCTGGTGGTTCAATTTTGAACCCCACGTCAATTGGAACAGTAAAATGGACAGGTTGGCGGCTGATATCTTGAAGCCAGCTGCAAGTCTCGCAACCAAGATGAGCAGCTCGCCCTCGGAATACAGGTGGGAATGGTATGGCAAGGCATACTTTCCTCAAGGTGTCGTACGCAAGCAGCACATGGAACAGTTCATCGTGCAAGACGCCCGCACCCATAATCGAATTCCTATAGCCAATATTGAATCTTTGCCGGCTGAAACCCCGATAGGCGAGCTCTTTGTCATCGTTTTTCCGGCACTGTTTCGCTGTGCGGATGGTGGACACGAGGACATTCAGATTGAGAAAGCCGTTATTCTCATTCGTGCAAACGAGGAGTTGCAAAGACAGAAGAGATCGGAAAACGAATCACGCATGTTTGGCAAAACTATTCTCCAGATGTTCAAGGATTCTGCCCTAGGACAGCCGAGCTGAGGAAGTGTGTTGTGTTGACAAGAGAGTAACATCATGCATCACTCATGATGGAAGGAACAATTGATAAGCTATGATGGGATAGTACGGCACTACTAGACATGAGATCACAAGGCCTTAAGTTTCATGGATTACAAATGAATCACAATATTTCTCAGATACACTTCTGCATATTTCATTCATCTCCGGCACATCTGCACGGAATGGTATATTAAGATCAAGGATTACATCTATATACATAAAAGTCCAGCCAACATCATGGAAAGCAGCCAGACAGGTTCCGTACCACGGAACCGACATCATCATCCATCGTCGATTCCCAAAGGAGACATGCATAACAACCAAGTCCAACCCAAAAATTTGTATCCCAAACACATACCCTTGTTTTTAACGAACAAGATAAAGAGAAAAGGTAGAAAAATCGACATGAAGAAAAAGAAACGCATTTACCGACCCAGCATTTTCAGCTCAATGGGTCTCAGAACGGAATGCACGACGAAAGAAAAGAGAAGAGCCAACTCGAAACCGACATCACCATTACCAGCATGCTTGGCGATGGGACCAGTGTACCACGTCTCACTCATGCCCGTGACCATACCTGCGACACCGAAAGCAAAGGAGATGCAAGCGGCGATACCATAGGGCAGCTTGTTGGGCTTGTCATATGTCTCGGGGCGATATCCGGAGAAACCACGGCGAACGATGTGGTCAGCAAGAGCGACACCGGAGTAGATGGCCAGCCAATAGGCGATGAAGTCCATTAGGTTTTCCAGAACCTCTTCGAAGTGGGAATAACCGGGGATGGCGACGGCGATGGAGACACCAGAGGCAAGGAGGACCCAGATGAAACGGGGAACGCGCTGGGAGTAGCGGCTCAGGACCTGGAGGGTCAAGGAGACGGAGTAGATGTTGGGGCAGTTGTTGGCGATGATGGACAGAGACAGAATCACCAGACAGAACTTGCCGAATCCGCCGACGGGGTCAAGGACAGCGCCCAGAAGACCTCCGTTTCCAGACTCGCTATAACCACGGGCGTACTTGTTGTCTCCGCCATTGATGGAAGTGGCGGTCATGACGGCAATACCCAGGAACTGGGTGAAGAGAAGAGGGGGGATCAGACCTCCCCAGGCGGCGAAGAAGATCTTGCGGCGGCTGCGGTTCGCGGGCTGGTAGACGGTGTAATCGGCGGCGTAACTGGTCCAGCCAGTGGCGAAACCATAGACAGTCGCACCGTAAGACAGGCAAGAGCCGAGCTCAGAGGTTCCAGTTCCCATGGGGAGGTTTCTGAAGTCACCGGAGTGGGCGAACAATCCGAACACGATCATGAAGACAATGAAGGTGGGGATCCAGCTGTAGTATTCGTACAAGTGGACGACCTTGATCCGGCGAAGGTGACGAAGAGGGTGCAGATGGCGATGATCAAGATGCCTGCAAATCCAGGAACGTCGGAGTTCACAGCATTGAGAAGCTGGGCGCCGACGATGGAGTTGGCGGCGGACCAGCCCAAACAGGAGAGAACGTTCAGAAGAGCAACTGTAGCAGAGGATATAAGCATCTGGTTATGATATCAATATTGTCAGAGAAACTTACTGATCTTGGTAGGCCAGTAACCAAACCAGAACCGGGAAAGCACCATCTGGCGCAGACCGAAGGCGGGACCAAAGCAGGAGAACCAGCAGACAGTCAAGACACCCAGCAGGTTGAAGAAGAAGCAGACGAGGATGGCATCGACGAAGCCGAGAGCGAAGGTGGAGTAACCAAGCACGCCGATAGCGAAAGAACTGCTCACCATGTTGGCCGCCAGCCACTGCGACGGGTCAGTTTGGGAGGGCGGTCTTGGAGCAGCCGACGAGAGAGCCGACGGAGACGAAAGCACAAGGCAAACAAGAGTTAGGAACACACCATGCTGCTGATATTGAAGTACGACGTGTCAGTCCGTTCATTGTCCGGGACACGTTCGACACCTCGCTGCTCAATATTGAGCTTCCCCGCCAACCGTTGCAGCTTAGCGTACAGCGAATTGCCGTACATAAAACTCTCCCCGGGGACAGCGCCATCGCTGCTGTCATCCATGGGCGTTTTGCCCACCTGGGGGGCTTTTTCGAGATCGGACTCGACTCCTCCGAACATGGTGTTGGGAATGGAAAGAGGTACGCGTATATCTCAACGGCGCAAAATTTAAAGTTGTACCGACGTCGGGATAAGAAACCCTCAGTCAGGAATCAAGTAGACTTGATAATAAAGTCTTTTGGAACTCTTGAATACGAGAGCTGTAAAGCTCAGGTACCAAGTATAGTTCAAGGAGGGAGGGGAAGGGAAGGGAAAGGAGGAGACGGAAACCACATCTTTCTTTTTTCTTTCTTTCTTTCTCTGCAGGAGAGCGTGGGAGGAGAGCTCCTAATATGTGTTCGGAGGCAACGAGAATTTCTTCTCACACCCACCGTGACGAGGCCCACCCCACGAGATCCGAACGAGTATCAGGCACGATGATTGATCGCTTCTGCACCGACGGAGAAACGCCGCCGCGACCGCGTAACAGCTTCCCATGGGCTCAGCTCCTGTCGCGTGTTCCGGCGGAGGTCCCAGCCCTGGCCTGGTCCGCCTTTCTTGTTTCGAGAAAAAACTCTCACGTTTACTTTCTCCTTACGGGCTCCACCGCCGCCAACTTGTCTTAGCTTAGCCCTAGTGCGCACAAGCTTATGCTGCCACCAATGAGATGCAGCATAGCCCCACCTCCTTCATTGTCATTGGAGTATATAAGGCTGGGCACATGGTTAAGCACCACATAGATCGCAGAAATTATCAGCAGCCCGTCTCTGATTGGATACCTATCTTGCCAGGACCGAGTGGGTCTGGTGGCGAAGGAACCCACGCTGATAAGGTCTCGCCTGGTGATAGGCACACCTGCGCCCGTAACCCTGAGAGATTTGATAATGATAACACCTCAGGTTCGTTAGGTATTTCGGTTTGTACGGCTTACCGCGATGCCTGCAGCTGGTCTCCCCCCAAGGCTAACCATCTCTGTCAGGCCCGATAACCACCTATCTCATGGTGTTGATTATCATCACCCCGGACTGTCAATTAGAATGCTAGGGGGTGTTGATATCATTCCTGCAGTCGGTCAACGCCGAAAGGCGCAGGAACTCTATCGTTGCCCTGCTTACTGCATGTAGACTTGCCACCGTTGCCTCATCGCAAACATTTTATTACTCCGTTGTGTAGTCATGGGGCCACAGGCACTGGGCTGATCAACGCAATAATTATGCCACGATCGCCAGTTTGTAAGAAAGAAGTCAAATACCAGCCTGAGGCATTCAAATCCAAAAACATCATCAAAATCAACAATGACAGAAGCAGCTATCTTTTCCCCAGACTTTGCTGATACCCCGCGTCATCGGAAACCTACGAAGAGTTGTGCTTCGGGCTGACAGGGAAGCGGTGATCGCCGCCGCCTCTAATCGCTATCACCAAGTTCTGCCATGTGCCAGCCCGTCCGCGAAGCTTCAGCTAAGCATATCTGCGCCGAGCGATGTAGACTTGGCAAGCAGACATGTGAAGTTGGATGCTGTTGATTGGGGAGAGGACATGAGCTCATAGCTAACCATGCATAGGCCCTGATTGGACGCTATGCAGCCCAGATAAGGGCCTTCTCGTCCATATCTCTGGGATGCAATAGTTGCATGATACGAACCCCTTAGCGCGGGAGCCCTTAGATTACTACTGCCAGGTCATAGCAGCATCGACCCCGGAATGTCTGCCTGTTCTGGCCACAGCCGTCATCAGATTGAGCGATGATTCTAGGTCGAGTCTGGAGGATGGAGTGTATCTATCCTCCACCTGGCACCTGACACCTATCGTCATGGAAGGCTAACACACATTCTAGAACAAAGATAG